AAAATAATTTTATATTTTGCTGGTATTGCCGTTTGGAGGCCCAGGGCAAAAAAGAATTTGCTTTGCTTCTCACAACATAAAGGAGCTAAATAAAGTTACCAAATTTCAGCTCTACTGCTTCTTCAAAACCAGTTGTGGGCTTGATCTGATTGCGGAATTCACTCCTCATCATTCACAATTTGTGAGAGCTCACATCCAGCACTATTGATTTTACAGAAATCACCACCACCTCGCCTTTTCATCTTCAAATCATTTGTCACCTCCTCAACTTTCTCTTGAAGAGAACTTCTACACTCAAGAGACATTGCTTGCTCTTGTAGTTTCTTCTTGCCTCTAAGCATGCAGAAGGTTTTTTTAAAAAATGTTTCTGCTACGTTGTGAGTTGTCCTGTGCTGAATGGCCTGTTTGCAAGATTGTTGGGTTTGTACTTGAAGTGCATACAAAATAACAAGTTTTTATGCCAGGAAGCATGTGCCTTAGGCTCATTATTTCGAAAGAATTTGTCATTTACATCCAGAACAGCAGCATTGTAGATGTTATTTGTAAATGTTGTCTAAGCCTTTCTGTATTGGGGGAAGCCTCCATTCGTTCTGCTCTTATATGGTGATGGTGGAGTTAGATTTCAGAAAGTAATGCTGGGGGCGGCGATAGTTCTGCTCCTTGGTGTTTGTGTGCTATTTAATGTCTGCATTGCAGGTGGGCTGCAGGTGGTCTCAGGTTCCAGGACATGATCTGAAGGCATGTGATGTTATAGTCACATTGCTGCAGTTAAGCAGATCTGGGTACTGATCTCGACATTTCAGCTGGGAAAAAATTGGCATTTTAATATAGGACTAAATAAATGCACCTCTGACCTCATTTTATGTGCTCCTGAAGTTACCCGATTCTTCCATTCCATCAGAGTCCCTTCTTTGCTTAACATTTCTTCTTTATATTTATTGGCTTTTAAAAGTGTTCTCCCTCATTCTATTTAATTTCAGAACAAAATTAATTGATGTATGTGGTTAATTTCTTTTAAAAAAAACTTTTAAAATAAGTTTATCCCATTTGTACGAGTTGGGTTCCATCCTCTCAGCTCTCTGAGAACAAATTGGTTGGCTTCAGCCATGCAGGTGTGCGTATTTATACAGCACACTACAGTTTGAAAGGAGTTACTTTCACTTGCTTTTTAGAACAGCTTTTGTATGTTGTATTATCCCCAAGGAAATGTGACCCTGAACAGAAAATAGACTGCACAGCCCTGGTCTACATAAAACCACTGTTCAGACATTTTCTAGAGCTGATGCCCTAGGTGGCAATGCTTGCTTGCTTGTGACTAGCCTGGCCAGGCTGTCTGTCTGTCTGTCTGTCTGTCTAGTGCAATCACTTTATTCCAAAATGTCACAGGAACCACCTTTTTGAAAGGCACCTGGCTGACCAAGATGGCAGAGAAGTAGCCAAACTAGATCACACACTCTAGCAGGCATCATGTGTGTGTACATGTTACTCTGCACACATGACATATGTTGTCTGCACACATGACACATGGCATTTCCATTCCTGCATTGCAACATTCGTTTGTTCAAGCAGCAGACAGGTGCAGGTAGTGTAGTGAACAAGTCAGGCCAAAGTTTTGGAAGACAGAGCTGTGCCTGCCATACAGATTACCTTCATCTGGCCTGCTGTTTTTAAGTGCAGTAGAGGATGTTGTTTCAGCACCAGAGTTGAAGCAAGGTTAAACCGCTGGTCCAGTTAACTTCCACATGTGAACCAAGGGACATACCATCTTGTCCTTTCTACCCAGACAGCAAACTGTCCTAGATCAGCCCTGGGCTCAAAGACACAGGCACATGGCTGTGGTCCTTCTGTTACTTGTTTGATATATGGGATACCATTAAAATTATCAGCATATAATCATCTGGAGCTCCTATAGAAGTAGAGTTTATATAATTGTATAATTCTGCCACAGAAGCCTGCTGTCCTTGAGTCACCTAGCAGCAGACATCAGGATGTGAGGGGGAGAAGGGAAGCAGGGCTATTCCATGGGCTTTGTTGAAAGACCAGGGCTGCCCACCCATGAGACAAGGGGAGGAAACTACCTCAGGCAGAAAGATTCCCTGGGGCAGCAGTTCCCAATGTCAATCTTTCTTTCCCCCTTGTTCCTGATGTGTAGATATTCCCTCCCCCCTTCCTCCCTGGCAGGGAGGGGCATCAGTATCTTGGGGTCTGTTCTTAGGTGCCAAAATATCTTGGGCCAGCCCTGTGAAAGGCCAACTGTTTTTGGCCCTTCTCTTGCCCTTTATCCCTGTTGTTGTTTATCCTGACATTGGAAATATTGTTACAGAATATAAGGGAAAATAGGGAAATAAAAGGTATAGAGGTGGGGCGCCAATCATATAAATTAAAGGCATTTGCTGACAATGTGGTATGAACATTGGAACAACCAACAGAGAGTGCCCCCAAGACATTAGAAGAAGTGGAAGGCCTTAAAAGAAACACAGAAAAGACTAAAACGTTGGTTAAAAACATGGACGACCAGTCGAAAAAGGTTTTGGAAATGGCAAGTGGCTTAAAAATATGTAAGAAATACCTAGGGATTTGTCTGACAGTGAGAAATATCAATTTATTTCAATATAATTATATTAAACTGTAGAAAGATAATAAAAAGATGGAGATTTGGGGAAGAATTAAACTCTCCCTATTAGGTAGAATCTCAGCCATTAAAATGAATTTACTGCCTTAAAATGTTGTCAATCCCGATTGTTCAGTCAATCCCGATTGTTAATAACTTAAGTTGTTTCAAGGAAAGGAAAAAATATATTTCTAAATTCATCTGGCATGTGAAATAGCCTCGAATTAAACATAAAATTTTGATAGATACAAAAGAAAGAGGGGGCTTTGCCCAGCCATACCTAGAATTGTATTATGAGGCGGCTTGTTTGTGTTGGCTAAGGGAATGGATTGTATTGGGAAATGCACACATTTTAGATTTGGAAGGCCACAATACGAAATTCAGCTGGCATACATGCCTTTGGTATGAGAAAGCTAAAATTTATAAGCGTTTCATAAACCATTAGGAGAAATTTTTATGGAGTCTGGGAGAAATACAAAAACTTGATGGAAAGGAAAACACCCCACTGGGCAATGGATATATTGTATAATATAGAACTAAACCTCTGGGAGAAACTTTGGAAAAAAGATTTGAAATTTACGGCATGCCACACATTGAAAGAGAATTACATTAAAATGATTCATAGATGGGTTTTAACTCCAAGTAGATTGGCTAGGATGTATAAAGCTGAATCCGATTTGGGTTGAAAATGTAAAGAAATGGAAGGACCTTTTTCCATATGTGGTGGGCATGCAAAAGAGTTAAAGAATATTGGGAAATTATATATAATGAGATGGGAAAATGTTTAAAACAACTCCCCCCCCAAACCAGAGGCATTTGTGTTAGGAATTGTCCAGACAAAGGTTCCTAGGTGTCAGAAAAACCTAATTATGTATGCTACAATGGTAGCTTGGATTTTGTTAGCCCCAAAATAGGTGAGGGAGGTCCCTAGCAAGGAGGACTGGCAACTCAGGATGATAGAATATGCAGAGTTACCTGGTCTTACAAGTAGAATAAGAGAACAAGAAAAACAGGTATTTAAAGAGGAGTGGAAAATTTTCATTGAGTATGTAGAAAATAATTGTGCACTGTTGAAAACACTGGCAGTATTAAGGTAAATTCAATAGCATAACATATTTAAAAGTGATGCAAGATAGGAGAACTGAAGTAGATGGATATATTAAAATATGCAGGAATGGTAGATAATCTAATAGAACCTTGAAAGGGGAGGGAGGGAAGTCATTGAATGTATGGTATGAAATACGTTTAATTTGAAATGAAAAATATGAAAATTATATCCATACATGATTATATATAGATATTATGTATAGATATATAGGTGTGTGTGTGTGTGTGTGTGTGTGTGTGTGTGAATGAGAGATTCTTTGGGGGACTGTTAAAGTGGTGTAAGAGTGCTTTAAATAATGCTTTAGTTAAAATTCCTGCATTGCAGGGGAATGGACTAAATGACCCTCAGGGTCGCTTCCAACTCTACAATTCTAAGATTCTATGAATGCCTATGGGCAACAGATGAATTATTTTAAAATGTCTCAAATATATGACAAGAAGAGATGTAACCCTAGTGGTTGGATGAACATGTCTGACTGTGATGCACGTGTGTGTGTGTGTGTGTGTGTGAGAGAGAGAGAGAGAGAGAGAATGAATTGGCATTAGCAGGTATGTGGAAAGAGATGTTAGAAGCAAAGTTTTGTTTGGAAAAGAAACAGAATTTGTTGCTATCTCCACCTCTTTCTTTCTTTGGCTGGGTTTCTACATTTACCATTCTTTTGACAGGTAGAAATTCAGCAGGTGGGGGAGGATGTGAGTCATTGAAATGAATGTGCGTTGCTAACTTAGAGCCGTAGGTTTCCTTGGGTCTACTCTATGAGTCTGGCCATTGTAATGGATTGCTTGGAAGTCATTTCATTCTGCTCCGGGTCAAGTAATTTGTAGCCGCCCAATTCCCCCCCCTCCCGCCGCCCATGTTCCTTCTTTTGCCGGACCGAAGGCGGCAACGCTCATTCCAGGGATCGCGCCTCAAGCCGAATTTGCGTGTAATCCAAACAGATGGGAAGCGGGGGGGGGGGTTGCCAAAGTCTTTTCTCTAGACGCCCCCGCCCCCTTTTGACTTTTTAAAAAGCCAAGTGCGGAAGCTGAATGCGCGCAAGTTAAACGCGCGCAAGTTGCGGGTTTGCGGTGCTATTAATCTGAGTTGTTGGAATGATTTAAAACCTTGTTTGTAATAAATAAGCAAACAAATGAGGGCGGGGCTTCAAAAAACAAAACAAAGCCCCGTCCGATGACTCTGGGCGGCGCCCGGTTGGCGGACGGGGCCTTGTTCCCGGAGCGCCTCCCTCTCCGGAGGACTACAGTTCCCGTCATCCTCCGCGGGGCGGCGCGCTCTTATGAGGTCACCGCCTCCCCGCCCGCTTCCCGGGCTATATGTGTCTGTGCGCCGGAGCGGCCGCCGCTGCTGCTGCTGCTGCTTCTTCGTGTTGTGCTGCCGCTGCCCCGGAGGCTCCGCTCGGCTTCTGCCCGCCGCCCTCGCCCTCTTCCTCGCCGGCCAGCGACTTCCGCCCCCTTCGCGGGATCCGGGCCCCTTCGGACTCCGCTCCCGCCTCGCCGCGCGGCCTCGCTTCCCGCCCGGCGGTGGTCTTTCGGAGGGGCTTCTTCCAGAGGGAGGAGAATTGTCCGCGGGAGGAAAGCGCCGCGGGGCCTGTCCTGGGTGAGCAGCCTGGCGCTCCCTTCCGGGTTTGGCTTCCAATCGCCGTTTGTCGGGTTTGGCCGGGACGCGAGGAAACTGGAAAAGGGGGAAAGGCAGTTTTAATGAAGAATTAAACGGTAAAAGGAAGAAAAGACTCAGTTCGTATTTCCCCCCCGAATGTGTGTGTGCGCGTATCCCCGGATTGTTTTCCGCCTCTTGCGTCGCTGTCTCGAGGTTCGCGGGCTGTTCTTTGTCCTCCGGGAAAGGGAAATTGCTCAGCAGCCCCACGTCCTCCGCCTCTTCCTCTGGCAAAAACCTGGCTATGGTTGTAGTCATTTATTTTGGGGTGGCGGGCGGGGGGTGTCTTTGTCATGGAGCTTTTCTAGGGGAAATCTCTCCTTTTTAGGGGGAGCCCGAAGCGTTTCCTAAAGCTGGGTTTGCCCAGGACTAACTAAAGTACAGTAGTCCTGGACGTTAGCTGAATAATAAAAAAGGCAGAACAAAGTAAGTAGTATTCCTTTGTGCTAATGTGTAAAAGCTTTTTTCTCCTGTGTTCTTGTGTCCCCACCAAAGGATTTCCCACCTCTAAAAGGAAACATAAGTTTTTGGTGTGGTGTTTATCCTTTTAAAGTTTGCTTTTAAAAACTGGCCTTGTGTCCTCGGTCTCAATTAACCCTAGTGTGATGTATTTGTAGCAAAGTTATTTTCCTTCTCCAGTTTCTTTTAAAGGGCTAAAATAGAGGAGGAGGTGTTGTTTAATTTCTTATTTGTTTTTATCAAAAGAGGAGTACAGTGATTTGAGATGGTGAGGGTTTTGATGTTGTCATCTTTGTGCTTTAGTTATGATTTGGTTCAATCTGTCAGTGTGTCATCTCTTAAAGAGAAATCTTTTACACCTGCTCCTACTAATTTGAAGTTCTGTGTTATACTGTTTCATTTAAAAAACCTGCAAAACATAGTTCCATGAGTCTTGGTTTATGACATCGTACTTTTCTGTGAAGTGTTTTATCACATTACCTTTTAAACAGCTACATGTTTTATATTGGCTGGGAGTCAACTGACTTTTTCAGTACAATCATTGTGATTCCTCTTCTTGGCTTTCTATCAGCTGAATTCCAGTTTTATCTGTTCTGAATCTGAGCTGTCCAGCAATGGAATTATTTTTTTCTATGCTTAACTTGTAAGGGGGAAGGAAAGTGGAGTGGCCAGAAGTGAGAGTGAAGCTAAGTTTCCTGTTTTCTATTTTGTATCTCACAAAGCATATTATAATGAAAGGTATAGTAGCATGCTGGATGTTTATATTAGATGTGCTGCTTATAGTCTAGGGTGTTTTTGCCTGTATGCTGTACTTTGGGTTTAATATCTCTCATATAAATTGATACTTCCTGTAAACTGTCAGTATTACCCAAACATCTGGTCCATTGACAAGATATATTTTCATGCTTGTGTTTCCAGTTTGATATTCAGAAAACATATTTTAAGAGAACTAATACTGATACTAATACTAAAAAGTGCTCCTGAGGTTTTGGCCCTATTAAATAAATGCAGCATTGCTGTTGATCTTTGGAATTATTGACTGATGAATATGGAAAAACTATGAATACACCAAGGCCAACTACTACATACATCAACTGGGAAGTAGTTTCAAGTGAATCCAAGTCCCTTGTTTCAAAATGTATTATATTTGAGGCACAAGATCAAATGCACCACTTTTGAAGTCTGAGCTGTCAGCAGGTTTTATTACCACCCGTGCACGTCAGTGGTGTTTAAAAGTTTTGTTATTTGTGAGCTTACGTGAGAGATTCTTGGAAAACTTGTTTAAATGGTTTAGAGACTTCATTGTGGTCAGGGATTTTCTTCTTAAGAGTTTTTTTTTAAATCTAAACTGGCAAATAAAGGTAGAAAGAGGATCTACTCCTAATTTCAGCATGTGTAGCCTTGACTTGTCTCTCCCCCCTCCCCCCTCCCCCCACTCCCAGGGTGGAGAATATATTGATTTTGCTTTATAGGTGGTCCTACTTGCTCCTTGTACATGCTTCAGCTTCAGATATAATCAATTATGACTGTTTTAAGCCTAATGTGGATATGCCTGGTTTGAATGGTGATCACTCTTTGTCTGACTGACCGGGCAGGAAAGGGATTTGGAAGCTGTGGTGGATTAGTCAGTGAAAAAATCAGAAAAAATAAAAATAAAAAACAAACTAAAACAGGTATTTATCTTAAAAATTTATCTGAAAAATAATAATTGTGGTTTAAACTGTTGCAGCATTCAAATAATTTTCAGTAGCAGTTTCAAGTATGATGTAAAAATTAAGTTAGACTAAAGATTACTAAATTTTAATATAATCATGTTATGTCAGTGAATAACTGATGAGAAATTGAAGTAAGGAGTAGATGGGAAGTTGGGTCTATAGAAAAAGACCATCGTTAATTTAAAGTTTTGAGATTATTAGTTAATGTATTAATGTTCTTTTTGTTTTGTATTGATGGATATTTGTTTTTTCTTTTTGGTGTGTTAAAGTACACAATTAAAAGAAAAGAAAAAGAAATGTTGATTCAGTGTGGGCCTGCTGTGAAAAAGACAATATATTAGAGATCATTACATGGATTCAACACAAGTAGAGTCACCTTTGAATGGAGTTTTTGTTGTGATGCACAAATGCCAAGGCTTAGTAGGTGAAGCTGTTTCAATTCAAATGCTGTTGGGTTCCCACTTCACTCCCCATCCCCCGCCCCCAGCAATAATTCTGGTTTCCCTGTACTAAATTCCAACAGCATAAGTTGGGAAAAGTGTGAGTTTGCATGTCCAGAGCTGGTAAATATAAAGAGATTTTATGTCAGCCTTTAGATACAGTGGCAGAACTGTATAGCTTGTGAAGGGAAAGTAGTATCTTCAAAATGACATAATTTATTTTCATAAGCTTGATGATACAAACCTAAATTCCCAAAGCTATTGGAAGTCTAATATAGCTTCATTCTCAGAAATAAGGTAGAGGTTATGTTTAATTCATATATTATGCCACCAATTAATGTTGATGAAATTGAGCACAACCAGAGTTAAAGCACTTAAAAAACCCCATTGCTATATAAAAAGGAATGTGATAGTCAAACTACAGTAGTTTACTACACAGATGTTCTGCTATTTAGATTGGTAAGATTTTAAATGGATATTATGCTAGCTAGGGTGTAGAATTGGAGGTTTTCTCTCTTTGCATGAAGTCAGATGAATCCACCTTCATATCTGTACTGTAATCAGGCAAATACTGAATCACAGAGTTGTAGAGTTGATCCTGTGGATCATGCAGTCCAACCCCCTGTAATGCAGGAATCTTAACTGAAGCATCCATGACAGATGGCCATCTGCTTAAAAACCTTGCATGATCAAGAAGCGGGAGTCTCTTAAGAAAGGAGTCAGAAAGTTCTTCCAGATGTTTAGTTGGAATCTCCTTTCTTGTAACTTGAAGCCATTGGTTCAGGTTCTGGCCTCCAGAGCGGGAGAAAACAAGTTTTCTCTATCTTCCATGTGATGACCCTTGAAGATATTTGAAGATGTATTCTCTTCTGCTGACCTGCTTTCTTTAAAATGGTAGATTAAAAGGTGACCAAAAAAGGAACTGTGTACCTCTGCTTGATTCTCTGTTTGTTGATCATAGTTTTGAGGATGAAAATATGCAAAGATCTACTCCCTTTAGCTTGTCCTTGCTACAGCTTTTGAGGCATTTCCTATTTTTGGAAGACATCAAAGGACAGACTCAGTAGGTTCCCATTGAGAGGCAGATCTCCAGCTACACAAGTCTGGATTCTGTGTAATTAGGAAAGGAGGAAGGAAAATTTAAAAATCTGATTCCTGTTGTGCTTCTCTCAACCTGTGTTTAGGTCTGTACACAAAAACATGCAAGAGATCCAACACTGGCATTATTTCATCTGTGTTGTATTTCTTTCAGTGTTAGAAACTGGCATAGGAATGGTAGGACCCATGCTGCTCCTGGGACCTAGGTTATGGGTGGCAAAACAAAATGTCTAGGCACATTTTTTTCCTGCCCTTCCACCAGACCAGGCAGCCTCACAGCAAAAATAAAAAAGCCTCCTGGTGAATCAGGTGGTCTGTAGAGTAGTGGTAGGAAACAGAGGCTTTTGCAACTGCACAAAAGACATGTCTTTTGCTGCTGCAGTGATGGGGAAATCAGGTGTTTGGTGGGGGTAGCGCAGCAGCAAAAGAGGCATGTTATTTGCTTCCGTTGTGGCTGGCAGACCAGCTGACTGCAGCTAGGCAGGTGGAGATGCTAGGCACCAATAGTGTCGCCTGGGCATTTCCATCCAGTCACAAATGGCCGGTTGCAAAATGCGACTGGCGCCTGGCTAATTTCGAACGCTGGTTCTTACCCTGGAACAAAGCTCAAGAGTGATGTCCTAGATCAGAGGTCATCAAACTAAGGCCCGCAGGCCTGATATGGCCCACCGGGCTTGTTAATCTGGCCCGCAAACCTTACAGACCCTGCCACCCGCTCGGTCAGTCCCCGCTCTGAACAGGCGTGGCACAGAGGCCTCGCCATGCGGAGGCTGACTTCTGCGGCACGGCTTGGCTTCTGATTGGCTGCAGAAAGCTCCAGCAGCCAATTAAAAGCCGCGGATGCCTCTGGACGGGCAGTGACATTGGCATGGCTTTTGATTGGCTTCCTTCTTGCTGAGGCGGCCGAGCGGGAGGAAGCGGCCGAGCAGGAAGGAAGCAGCAGTGGCGTGGAGGCCAGCAGCATGGGCCCTGTGCCCCGCTGAGACAGAGAACGCCGACACTCCCAAAGACGAGGCAGCGTCAGCAGCTGCGGCATGAGTGGCATAGGCAGGGAGGTGCTTTCAGGAGGCGGTGGGTCCGGCCCCCCACAAGGTCTGAAGAACAGTGGACCAGCGCCCTCCTGAAAAAGTTTGCTGACCCCTGTCCTAGATCTCCCTAATGTGCTTTTAGGCATCATAAATATGTGCTGTTCAGCAACATACTAGGTTTCTAGATTGTAAGGCATAGGCATGGGCTTGCCATAGTAGTGTGTGTGTGTGTGTGTGTGTGTGTGTGTGTACATTATTAATAATTTTCGAGTTACCAATTTGGTGATTTGGCATTTTTTAATTTATCATTTCATGGTAAAGTAGAACTTGGCCATAGTTGACCATCACCCAAATTGATAATAAATCTAAGGCCCTTGGACTATACCATAGTGGACTTTCCTGCCATGTGCCTCTCCTAAAATAAACAGAACAGAACTAGCCTTTCTACAGCTTCATTGAAGATGGTTATCTCTTATGCCACCTAGGAGCAAAGGAAGGTGTTGGCGTGATAGCAAGAAAAGAAATGGGCATGTGCACTCCAGGATTCTTGCAGAAGGAAATAACACATGAAAGGGGGGAGGAGTCCTTTCTTTGAAAGAAAGATATAGCATTTTCCCATTGGCCTGTGCAGTCAGTCAGCTCAAAATGTATGTGCAGTGCTCACAGATGCTCGCTTGCCATTGCCTTGAGATAGTGTTGTTGGGGAATCTTCTCCTTGCTCATTTGATTACATCAGTAAGAAGTAGCTAGAACAGGGGGCAGCTAACTTTTTCAGCAGGGGGCCAGTCCACTGTCCCTCAGACATTGGGGGTGGACGGACTATATTTTGTGGGGGGAAATGAATGAATTCCTATACCCCACAAATAACCCAGAGATGCATTTTAAATAAAAGCACACATTCTACTCATGCAAAAACATGCTGCTTTTCTCATCCCTCCATGGTCACAAAAGCCTCCTTCCTGGTGTGGACAGGAAGAAAACTATAGTGTGAGCTGAAAATGTGGTGCTTTTGTTGGACTGTATCAGTCCTTGTGTGCATCTGACTCTAACACCTATGATCTGAATATGCATCAGATTCTAATGAAGATATGGGAACATTAGACTTAAAAGTCACCAGCATTATGTAATGATGGGTAGGAGGAGGAAAGGGCCGTGGGCTGGGCCTGGTCAAGTATACTGTTGTAATTGTGGGAAGAGCAAGGAGAAAGGTTGCTTCTTGCAGTGCCTTTCCTTGCCACCTACAACTTTGCCATCCGCAGGCAGGTGAGGTGAGGCTTCTCTCCCACATCCCAGGCAGCATCAGTAAACTCAGATCAGTGTTCACAGAGGTAAAGTGTGTAATGGGTGATTCCACATGCAGCTTGCAGGTGCAGTTGTTCCTTACATGGTATGCAGTCTCAAGCAATGGCTCACATTTGTAAATGAGCTGTTACAGGTTAAACACCGGCAATCAAGCTTTCATATTGCCTGATGTCACCTAACTTTACAACAGAGTCTGTTCTAAAGTTCAGTTGTGAGTCAAATAATATGTCCCAGCCCCTTGGTTTCTCTTAGATCCAGGAAGACACAGGTTACCTTCAATGCCAAACCATTGCATTTAGGTGTGTGACTGTTTGAACTGCTATATAAGTGAATGATAACAATTTGCTAGGTAAGGACAACATACAGTTGAAAAAGCATGGAGCTAAACTACATGGCTTGTATGTGATTAGCAAAAAAATCTGAAATTCATTACATATGTAGCCTTTCTATATTGTAAATATATTCCTTTCAGAGAAAGTCATAGCTCATTCCACTTCTGTAATGTACCACTAGGGATATGTTGCTAATTCTAAAAATATGTCAGTTCCTCACTTTCCCACCATCTGCTGCAAACTTTGCTCCACCCTGTTTTTTGGCTGTTGTGTACATGCAGGTTTTCCTCTGCAGAATGAGAAAAAACAAATGTAGTTAGTAGTTAGAGTTTCCGTGGTTACTTGTTTGATTCCAGGAAATAAAAGGAAATGGCTTAAAGCTTGTCTAGTAAACTTGGGGAACAAGCATAAAATTAGGCATCTTATGTGTGCTGTTGACTTTTATTTATTTTAGTTTTCGTGCAGTCTAAACCTTTGCATTTTATTTTCCTATTCTGTTAAAGTGAAAACAGCATTTGTCCATAGTTTTGTGACTTCTTCATAGACAGATCCCCTTGAATCTGTATAGGGAGAAATAAATGCATTCTTTTGCTAGCGTATCAGATTGCCTAACCAAAGGCAAACTGCACTGTACCTGTATATCAGAAATTAAGATTGTAGCTACTTTATAGGGTGGCAGCATGGTTTGGTCATGTGCATTACAATGTTCACAAGGTGCTGTGTATAAAGAAATGTAGATCACGAGAAGCATGTAAATAATAATTCATTCAATTATGAGTCAGTTTGATGAGTTGTACTTATTAAATCATTTAAAATATTTTGGCTCTTGCGGTGTTTCAGCTCACTGATCTCTGTAGCACAGTTCATGTGGCAGCTGCCTGAGTAAGCCAGCTGAATGGCATTGTATATTGTTTCTATGAGGCAACTTACATGATGGGGTTTAGCAGCTTTTCATAACCTGTGCTACTATTTAAAATGGCAGATATTGGTCCTCTGCCAAGCCATGTGCAGCATTTAGTCGTGCTTTGCCAGTTAACTCTAATATTTCCTTCAGAGATCACCTTGATGGGTATTTTAAAAGGGCGGTTGGGGAATGGGGGCTTCAAGTGGAAATGATTAGCAAGTTCTGCTTTTGTTCTTCAAAGCCATAGCTGCTATATTCCTGGCTCTTGGCAGACTCTGCCTGCAAGTACTTCGTGTTCTGCAGGACTTGTGCCTGATTTAGAGTATTGCATGTACTGAAAGCTCCCAAACCAGATTTTGTTCAGTTTTGTACTTAACATCATGATGCAATTATTCCCCAGGCGGTTTAAAAAGCTGAGACAATTAATTCTGTGAAACTTTTGGCTAGCCTATAGTTTTATTTATTTCAGGTAGCCAGTAAGGCTACGTTTCCATGTAATGCTAAACTTAGGTTTACTAAGCTCTGTGGTGCACACAGCTCAAGCCCTTCTGCTCTGCTCCTGCCTTCACACAAGTGAGTAAACTGGGAAGGGAATAACTTAATATGTCTAGGGCTGTGTTATAAATCGATATACTGTATCGTCTGATAGCAAATTTTAAATCAAATCATAACTTTTTTAAAAAAATGACCCTGCAATATATTGCAAATTGTGTGTGAGGTATTCAAAAAGCACAATATTGGACTAACTGGGAAGCCAATGCTTCTTCCTGTGTGTTGAGCCCTTGCTAACTCCGCCTCAGTCAGCTCTTCCCTGCCATCGCTACACAAAGAACTGCAGCCTCTTTCAGTTAACACAACCTCTTTTGCCTTTGAGAACTAGTTAAAAGCTGAGCAAAAACCATCCCTTCTGTGGGATTGTGCTGCTGCGCGCGCTCTCTCTCTCTCTCTCTCTCTCTGTGTGTGTGTGTGTGTGTGTTAAGTGTTTCCCTTCTGAACTTCCAAGGAACTTCTGTGAGATGCTGCTGCGCTCTTGCTCTCTTGCCAAGTAGGAGGGAACTCCCCCCCCCATGCTTGACTTGCAAGTTGCTTCAGAATAAAAGAGGGGGACCCCCTGTGTGTGTTGTGTGCGCCTTTCTTGGGGGGCAAAAGCAGCCCATAGGTTTCTTAATTAACCTAGCATATGAAGCTCCTGAATCCAAGCAGGAGGTAAATACTCTTGAGATGCTTGTTGGCTTGCAAGTTGCATCAGAGTAAAAGAAGAAAAGCACCCTGCTCTGTTGTTTGAACCTCTTCTACCCCCCCATCGGCATCTGTGTCTCTCCCCATTTTCTCCTCCAGTCCCACTCCCTACCCTAGAACTCTTCTCAGTTCTCCTCTTGCCCCTTGGATATCTCATATTTGTAGCCTCTGTGTGACCCAGCGTTCTGAACGCCTGCATTTCTTGGAGGCTCCTGAGGCTGTCGGACAGGATGCCATAAAGATGATGACGGGCTGCATGGAAGTCTGTGTGCTGCTTCTGCAGAGCCAAATACTCACCATGCTCCACCACAAAAAAAGGGGAGGACCTGGCACTGGCAGATGATGGATTAAAAGCAGGAAAAAAGCTAAAAGATATGTCTATTTGCCAACAGTGAACACTGAAGAATGCCCTTTGACATGGTGGAAGAGACATGAGGCATCCTTCCCAATGTTGAAGGTGCTTGCAACTAGGTTTTGGGCTATCTGAGGAACATGTGTGCCATCTGAAAGTGTGTTCAGAATGGCTGGCAATGTTCTTCAAAGACAAATGGCGTCTGTATTGCCAGAGAACGCTGAAAGGCAAATTTTCCTTGCAAAACATATACCGGTAAATTTCATTTAATTTTTTTTGTTCTGTAAAATTTTACCCATTCCTTCTGGTTTGGCCTGGATTATAAAAGAAATGAAATTTTTTTCTGGCAATATGAATATATTGTTTAACAATCTTTTGTTCTGTTCAAATTTATCCATTCCATTCTTACTATTTTGGTCTGGTTCAGAAAAGAAAATAACTGAGGTTGTAGGATGTATAAGACTCAGTAGTGAATTACATTTGAATATCTAAAATTGTGACACTGAATTGACTTTTCTTATTTAGTAATGTAATTAAATTTTTAGGGAACATTCTCTCACCTTACTTTTGATATCTATTCTACTGATTACATCTACTTCTATTATCAGTATGGTAGTACATAGCAGTTGTAACAATATGTTAAAGTAAAAATTTATCCATTTTATAATAAGACCCATAAGCAGTAGCTCTCCAGAGCATTACCACTTTCATTTCTGCATAGATCCAGCACTCTACTCCTATTGTTAAACTCCTTAACATATTGTCTCTCCTTAACATATACTTTGAGGCTTCAAAGCACACACACTTCAGTAATCCTTGTGATCGCCCTGTAAGGCAGACCAGTATCACAGTGATTGTTAATACCGATGTTATTGTTTTTGTATTGTGTTTTCCTGCTGTGTAATTAACCATGAACAAGCTATGCCTCAAAAGGTGACCTATGCAAATTTTTCTTGATAACTGTATTCCCAAGGCCATATTTATATTTCTATGGCATAGTGATCCATGCTATTTGCCAAGAAAAACTGAATTTGAAATTGCTTTGGTAGTCACAGGCAGGAGCAAGGAGTTACAGACAATATAACCCTGGCTCACTACAATTCCTACTAAGCGCCCTCCCACTTTCTTAGGGGTTTCACAGTCCATTACCAATATATATTCACAATCCATTTTTTAAACACAAACACATAAAAGAAGATGAGAAACTAGATTAGAAGCTTGATTTTAAAAGCTACGTACATTATTTGCTATGCACTGAAATATATATGTATATATATATTTCTATACTTGTGCACAGTGCTGGCAAAAAATAGCATATAGATAACTAATTACATGTTTTAACTGTGAAATTAACAGTAGCTGCATTATTTCTAATTATGGTTATTCAACATTCTCCATTCAGTTCTGCAAAATGAAATAATTTCTTTGTTGGATGGCATTGAGAATGGACCAATATGACCAAATCAAATTTTCTCCAACAGTCATCAGAAATAAAACTTGCCAAGAGGTGCCAAGACTTAGACCAGGCGTGCAGGGTTAACGTGGTGCAGGCTTAACTAGCTGGTGGGCCCTGTCACTTCCCCTTCTGCCTGTTTGAGAGGATGCGTCAACAGCAGCAGCAGCAGCAATGGCTTAACCTCTCCTCCCGTGCAGATAATCGGGGAACCAGAAACGCCCCGGGCTTTGCAGCAGTAGCAGCACTTCCTGCAGGATCCGTTAGCTGTCCCACCAGTGTGTCAGACTGGCATGGTGCCCGCTTCTTGGTTCCCGGGCTGGGCTGCAGCTGGCTGCTTCCTCGAAGGTGGTGCTCGTGCTTCCACCGGGACAGAGCACGTGCAAAGTGCGCAGCTGGCCTGGCCAAGGCATGGGAGCAGAGGGGTTGTGCTTGCTTTCCATGCAAGGCTTTCTCTGACTCGTGTCGCAGCTGGAGAAACAGCACTTCATGGGGCCAGCAGCTGCTTACTCAGGGTTCGGGCGGGAACGCAGAGGCGGCAGATTTATTCAGTTGCCACACAGTGGCACCAAGACTTTTTGAAGTGCTCGCAATACACTTATTAAATGCATCTGAAGCAGGAACATAGCCATATTACTAGATTGTAAAGAGGTGGGGGAGATAAGTGACTGGAAAATATGTATTTTTAAACTTGGATGTGGGTGGCTTCCGTGATCTCTCATGCTCCATAATCTAGCTGTCCAAGCTGGTCACCAACTGACATCCTCAAGTGGTGATGGCAGGGCCAGCCTGTACCCTATAAGCCACTGGGATGACCTAGTTATAAAGAACAAATCCTCATCTGAATACCTGCAAGTTAGGGATTCTGATTTCAAACCCTAAACTTGCATCTGGGAGCTGGGCAAAGACCTTGTCACAGAGAATAGTACCATTTTGTAGATGAACTCTGAAGCGGAAAGAGGAGAAGTTAGCCATTAAATCTGTGGTACGCCCCTACCCACCACATTTTATGGCTGGGAAACATTGAGGCACAATCTTTGTTTTGGAGGTCTATAAGGTAGTTACTAAAAATTGCCTCATGTCACATTTTATTCCTCAGAATAATTGCAGGTGGTCTGAAATACCAGGGGTGGCATTTTGAGATGGAGAGCTTGGAGGCAAGTTTCACAGCAAGGCTCAAAGGCAGTGTTTGAAAGTAGCCAGGCGCATGTTGCACCAGGATGGCACCTGAGCAGGAGCAGTGAACAATGTTATAGTTAATTATTGTAGCTCATCTTCACTTACCCAGCCCCAGTGCCCTGCTCACAGTTGTGAAGAGCATTGTATGAATGATCCATGTCACCATTAAGAAAAAGAGGTAGGAATAGGCCAATATATATATATATATGGACTGTCGCTGGATCAAGTGACTTTTTTCTTTCAGTTCTCAGATTCTTAATGTAGCTCAAGGTTGTCAAATGATTAACTGATAATCAATTACAGTCAGGCCATCATTTGAAAAATAAGCCTTTAGAGCCGTCTATCCCAAATATGGCAACTAGACATTCTGTTTTAGCGACTGTAACATTGGCTTAAGGAACCATTTGACGCCTAGCTTATATATCTGAGTTTCTAACACTGCTCAAAAGTCTGCTATTGAATATATTTAGTAGTAACGTGCAAAAAAAGCTGATTTAGTTTTCATAGGGTGGAATTGAACATTGTGCTATGATGAATGTTCCATCTGTGCAAGCACCTAACTTTGCCAGATGGAATTTCCCCCCTTCTCTTCCCCGTCCCACTGTTCTGGGCAATGTTCTGACCATCAACAAAGATCCCAAGCACTTTGGCCCCTGGACAGATATCATCTTGCTTGTTGATGCATCTGCCATACCTGCAGGCACGTATTCATTTACCTTGGCTGCTCAGAGGCCCACATTCAGCAGCAGTTCCACCTGGCCATTATGGAGAGTTCCTTTAGCTTGGCGTCACCTCCGCTGGCTGAAAGCAACGTTGGCCACTGGAGTGACTGGTTAAAGGGTTTGTCCACACTTCTGTGTGCCCCATGCCTAGAAAGCAGAGGTCTGCGTGGTTTTCTACTTGCCCTGTGCTTTCTAGGCATTGGGTCTGAGTGGTCTTGCCTTTTCCCTGTTGCTTTTCCCCAGGAAACCCGTTCTTTAGTGCCAAATCAGAACAAATGGCAATTTGCAGAAAACTTGATTGCAGTTTGTTCCGATTCACTGTTAAACTGTGGGTTTTCCTGGGGGAAAGTGGAAGGGCAAACAGTTGATAATAAGATAATAATGATTTTATTATTTATACCCTGCCCATCTGGCTGGGTTTCCCCAGCCACTCTGTGTGACATGAACATAGTAAAATGTCAAACATTAAAAACCTGCTGATACAGGGCTGCCTTCAGATGCCTTCTAAAAGTTGTGTAGTTCTTTATCTCCTTGAAATTGGATGGGAGGGCGTTCCACAGGGAGGGTGTCACTACATAGAAGGTCCTCCATCTGGTTCCCTGTAATTTCACTTCCTGCAGTGAGGGAACTGCCAGAAGACCCTTGGCAGAAGGACCTTAGTGTCTGGGCTGAGCGATGGGTGTGGAGACACTCCTTCAGGTTACTGGGCCAAGGCCATTTAGGGCTTTAAAGGTCAGTACCAACAATTTGAATTGTGCTCAGAAACGTACTGGGAGCCAGTGAAGATCTTTTAGGACCAGTGTTATATGGTCCCGGCGGCTGCTCCCAGTCACCAGCTGCTTTCTGGATTAGTTGTAGCCCCATGTAGAGTGCATTGCAGTAGTCCAAGCAGGAGACAACTAGAGCATGCACCACTCTGGCAAGACAGTCCACAGGCAGGTAGGGTCTCAGCCAGCATACCAGGTACAGCTGGTAGACAGCTGCCCTGGACACAGAATTGACCTGCACCTCCATGGACAGCTGTGAGTCCAAAATGATTCCTAGGCTGCACACCTGGTCCTTCAGAGGCACAGTTAGCCTGTTCAGGACCAGGGAGTACCCCACACCCACCCGCCCCCATCCCCCCAAAACAATACTTCTTGTCAGGATTCAACCTCAATCCGTTAGCTGCCATCCATCCTCCAACCACCTCCAGATTCTCACACAGGACATTCACTGCCTTCACTAGTTCTGATTTAACAGAGAGGTAGAGCTGCATATTGATGAACACCCAACCCAACCTCTCCCAGCGGGTTCATAAAGATGTTGAAAAGCATGGGGGAGAGGACAGCTCTGAGGCACCCCACAAGTGAGCGCCCAGGGGTCTGAACACTCACCTCCCAACACCATTTTCTGGACACGGCTCAGGAAGGAGCAGAATCAGACAGTCCAGAAGGATACCGTGGTCAATGGTATCAAAAGCCACTGAGGGATCCAGCAGAACTAGGAAACAGCTTTGTTGTGGATAGCAGCAACCAGGGTCTGCATCAGGTGAGGGGAGTGTTGGGATGGTAGTAAAATGGCTATTGTAATGGCTGTGGTAGTTGTAAAATGGAGTGGGGAACTTCAGGCTCTGGGTGCAGCCACTGGAAACCTACCAGCAGTTGAACTGTGGACTGCATTCAAGATTGTACCTGCCTCTTGTTTTAAGATGTGGTGTTTTAACTGCTTCTTTATTCAAGTGATCTTGTGATGAGATAACCAAGTTTGCAGAGAGTTATTTATTTGTAAGGTTTCAAACCAAGGAAGCTCTCCAAACTAGGAAAGAGAATGGCAGGTCAAATGTAATGTAAGTGAAGGCCCAGTTCTAACTTCAGGTATGTATTAATGACAAGTTGGTAGTGGAGAAAAGCAACTTGAGTGTAAACTTAACTCTGCCACCCCAAAGGTTGTTCTAAAGAGAAAGGTCTTAATGTTTTGAAAAGATGTTCAAAGCTCTACGTTTGGAGCCAAGGCAGCTGCTGATCATTATTCTGTCAAAATGCACTTATTATGAGGAAAGGTTGCATTTCCAAAATTTATTCATAATCATGGTTTTAGAAGATTTTTGTGGAGAGGGTTCTTTTTTTAAAAAAAGTATCCTTCCACTAGCACAAGCTTCCAGCATGATCCAATAAAATAGTCTTTGAACCTCGCCACACACATTATCTTTTAATTCATCAAAAGTGTGAGATAAATATTAGCCTCCTATAATCAGCATGCTTAGCTCTAGTAAATGCATGAACGGGTTAAGACTATAGAGTAAACGGTCCTGCCAGACTCAACTAAGTCACACACCCTCACCTAGAGAGGGTTACCAAAAGCCATTACTCTTTCACCATGTGAATCATACCAGAAAGGACATCTGGGCTAATTGCTCCAAGTAACCCAAGGTGTTTGTAACCTGAGGTACCACTGTATTAACTCTAAAATTTATGGAGAGTAGAAAAGGGATTGGACATGGGTTTTTTGTTCTGCTAATAGACACTACAGTGGTACCTCGGGTTACATCCGCTTCAGGTTACAGACTCCTCTAACCCAGAAATAGTACCTGAGTTAAGAACTTTGCTTCAGGATGAGAACAGAAATCACGAGGCAGCAGCAGGAGGCCCCATTAGCTAAAATGGTACCTCGGGTTAAGAACAGTTTCAGGTTAAGAACGGACCTCCAGAACGAATTAAGTTCTTAAGCTGAGGTACCACTGTATTGCATTAAGTTACCAGTTAACTTGTCTTTTTTTATTTGCTTAAAAGCTTTAGGACAGCTTTCCCCATCCTGGTGCATTCAAGATGTTTTGGACTTTAACTCCCCTCAGCGCTGACCATTGGCTATGCTGGCTGGGAATAATGTGGATTGCAGTCCAAAATTCCTGAAGAGCACCAGGCTGTTTTTTTTCATTACAGACTAATTGGTAGTATAACATTGCTGCTAAAAGCTTTCGGGACTACGGTAAGTAGGCTGAAAATGAGTAAGGCCGCACCTGCCTTGCCTTGCCTTCTCTGTGGTGAAACATCATTCAGAGTATCTAGTTGTCCTGAGTCATAGCAACATGACAAAATTAAACAGGTAGTTTTGCTTATTGCATTGTTTTATTGGAGACTATTGAAACCTTCAAAAGTCTGGAGATCAATGACTATCCCTGCCACAACTTTGGAGGACAGTTTTTGTTTCAAGCCTGAGTATATTTTGTGTGTGTTTCTTTCAGGTATGATGATTTATGCCCTGGGTTTCTTTGCCCATTAAACATCTGGGGCTTTTTTCAGATCCTGGAGGGATACATCTGTAAATATAGAAAAAAATATAATGTTGGTTACAACTGTAACCTGCTTATTATTTGGTTATTTGCCTCCTGGAAGCACAAGGAGTCAGTTCAGATGTAAACATGCAACATGCTTACTCTCCTGATCCATGGTTTGGAGAATCAGGAACATGCTACTTCGGTTTGTTTGCTTTTTATTACCTTTTAGGACAAAATTTCCCCTTCAAGGTGGTGGTTAAGATGTCCAAAAAATACAACTAAACCATGGTCTGGAAGATCTGAAATGAGTTGTACTTGTGCAGCCACCTCCCACCCCGTTCTCCTTGTGCCCTTGGCTTAATAGAACACTTCCTGGTTTGTCCAGCCACAGTTCACAGTGACTTCCAACCTGGCTTGCGTGCTCTCCCTCAACTGCGACTGCGTGCCAATTATTTTTCTTTAGGTTTTTGTTTTATCTGCGTAAGTCATTGGGAGACATTGGCTGTGCTCCTGCCTCTTCCAACAATCAGCAAAGAAATCACTTGAAACATGTTGACTGATGGATGTAGTAGGACTAAGCTTGTTGCAGGCTGAGGTGGTAAAATGGGTTTGTGTCGCTTCAGAATGCAGATGGAAGATTAGTCTTTTAATGCTACCATGCATTCAAATGGAAAGTGAACAAAACTGGGAACCATAGAAGATGACTCATTCTCCCAGCTGAGGGGAGTGGGGTGACTAAGTTGGGTGTGCATGTCAAGGAACCACCCTGAGATCTTTTGGTGAAGGGTGGTATAGAAATTTAATAAATAAAATAAAATTTCCTTGCACATAAGAAATAGCAGGGCAGGGGAAGAGCAGACTTACCTCTTGATATGCCAGTTTTCTGCCTGCATGCTTTTTTGTGGTATTCAAAATTGGGAGGTACGGTCTATTTTGCCACATCATTCCCATCTCATTCTGTGTGAATAAAGTCAGTCTTATGCCACTGTGTTAATTACATATGTCATCTCAGGACTGCCTTGTAATATTCTAATTAATCTACTTCCAGAATCCAAAACTTTCAGGATTTTCATGGCTTTCATGGAAGTGTGAGCTCTGACTGACAGAACGCTGGATGTGGTTTTAGAGAATAAACTGTTTTGGAAGTATTTTGTCTCTTGTTTGTTTTAAGCAAGATTTCCAATAAATGGTTCTCAGTATTTCAGCCCTTGGTAGCTAAAATGTATGGCATTCTGTGACGACTTTCCCCCCTGAAATGTGTGTTTAACAAATCTTGGCATAGACAGTAGTGCTAACATGGAACACACATTGGAATAAGTTTCTGTGCCCATTTCAGAACACTGTGTGTACTGTACTTTGTTCATCTTTCAGTATAATTTCAATAAAAGCTAGAAAAGGGGTTTGTATTAATAAAAGCGAATATTTTTATTTTTCAAAATCTGGGCTTGAGATGTAGAAAGCATTTGGGGAAACATGCTGCACATCCCAGCCTAATTAAATGAAATCTGCTGTGTGCTGGTCATTGGCTGCTGGTTCTTTGGCTACTAGAAGATGGAAATCCTTAATTGCACAATATGGTTTGCAATTAGGTGTATTGGACCTATGCTTTTATTTTCATTTTATGGTGGAGTTTATGTTGTTGGTTCCCCCTAAATAGTTTTCCTCCTTATCAAAAAGGAAGGTTTTTTAAAACATTTAAAGGAGACTATCTTCTTGCTTGCCCTCCCTTTGATAAAAACGGAGAGATTGGTGGCATGGGGGCTTTGGGGGGGCCCTTCGGGGGGTGAAGGGGAGAAGATTTAGCTGGCTGCCTTATGCTGAAATGGGAGGTTGAGTACCATGTGAGAATGATGGGAAATGTGTGTTTTTTTGTAAGCAGCTCAAACAAATGCATGCCTACAGTGGTACTTCGGGTTACATACGCTTCAGGTTTATTTAATATATTTTTTAAATCTACTACTCCTTAAGGCCCTCCACCGCTACAGGGAGCCTCAAGGCCCTTGGCTGCTGTGGGGAAGCTTGGCGCACCCTCGCCTGCCATGGGGCGGTACAGAGGGACCTCTGCTGCCGCAGGAAGGCCTGGCAAGACTGTCCGCTGTCGTAGATATACATATTGTGATATTTAGCTGGTGATATATCGTGATGTTTGTGTCACTTCAGAATGCAGACTAGAAATCCATTATTATGGCTGTTGTTAGGCTACCAGTACCTGCATGCAGCAAACTCACTCTATTTTGTAACTGTAAGGAGGCATGGAAGTCATATCTTGCTCTCAATTTTGCCTCTCTTCCAGAAATAGTCTTCAGTTATACAGAGGTTCAAATACCTTCACCTTATGCCTCCAATAAGAAATGCAGGCAAATGTACCTCAAAAATGTACAGACATTTTTACCCTGTTCAGACCATTTTAGTCACAGATTGTCCTAAATAGTGTGGAGAACCTCCATGGAGTAGAGGAGGATCCCTGTGTCGCTGTTAACTCATGAAGTACAAGAGATCTGTGGAAAGTTGAGTGCCCGAGTGGGGAGCCTGGCTAGTACTTGCCTCTGCTCTCCCTCGTATGTTTGCATACATCTGAATACATGAACATCAGAATAGGGGTATAGTATTGTAACATATTTAAGAAACCTAGAAATTTAATGATACTGGGTTTGTACCAAGGAGCTCAATAGATTGCCTCTGTAGTTCAGTATCAAGAGAATCTAAACTACTTCATTGAAAGTAAATTTCTAATGTTCATGATTGCCGGGAGAACTCTCAAGAACATGCTGGTGGACCTTGGAAATGTTGACAGTGAATTGGTATCTATGACTTCGCTACTCAGCATGCGTTTCAGCATGAATGTCCTCTGCATATTCATAGCCATTGATATATGCTGGTTGTTACTATTATTATTTCTTGAATTTATATACCGCCCTATACCTGCAGGTCTCAGGGTGGTTCACAGAATAACATCAGAATATAAAACCATAAAATAGTCAAAATAAAAACAGCAACCCAATAACCCCCCAACACATTTTAAAAGGGCATAGGATGTCAATCAAATCAACCAAAGGCCTGATTAAAAAGGAATGTTTTTGTCTGGCGCCTAAAGGTGAATTTCCCTGGCAGAGCATTCCTCAGATGGGGAGCCACTGCAGAAAAGGCTCGTTCTCATGTTGCCACACTCTGGACCTCTCGAGGAGGAGGCATACAAAGAAGGGCCTCTGAAGATGATCTCAGGGTCCTGGTAGGTTTAAATGGAGAGAGGTGGTCCTTGAGGTATTGCAGTCCTGAACTGTTTAAGGCTATATAGGTCAAAACCAACACTTGGAATGGGGCCTGGAAACTAATTGGTAGCCAGTGCAGTCAGACCAGGATTGGTGTAATATACTCAAACCGTCTGGCTCCGGTGAGCAACTTGGCCGCTGAATTCTGCACTAGCTGAAGTTTCTGAACCATCTTCAGAGGCAGTAATCTAACCCTCTCTTACCACTCTGTTCCAAAGATTCTAAATTTGCAAAAGAGGAGAAAATCACAAGTACAATTAAAATTGAGAAGCACTTAGTAAAGCTTCTGTCAGACTGAATTACTATTGTAGAAAATGAGACAATATCAACTCACTTGTAACAGTTCTACTTAAATATTTAAGACTCCTTCTTGTGCCTTGGTATAATCTTGCCCAATGGCTGTGTTTGGATGTAACACTAAACCATAGTTTAGCGGTGTGTGAACAAGCCTCTGGCTCCTGTATTCCCTTCCCTTTTTTCCAGTGATGTGGTCAGGTAGGAGGAGATTGGAAGAGTCTCCATTTTCAGCTAACCAGAGTTTGTCATTTCTATGGCCAGTCCCTAGATGACGTGTTGGCATAAGAGTTCTAGAGAGTACGTTTAGTTTTTTTTATATGTTGTGCAAGTAGCAGAGATGGGAAGCCGAGGCCCAGACCTTTCACCAGGAATGAGTGAGAGTTGGGTTCTTTTGCACAGTCTTGAAGCAGGTGGTGTGTAGGCCTTGCCTCCTGGGCAGCTGCTGAAGAAGGAGTAGGTGGTGGAAGGCTGGTGGAGTAAGAATGGTGGGGGCTGATGGTCCACACACTGCATTGGATCGTTTGCACTGCAAGTGATTGCAGGTTGTTAGAATCTCTCATAAGGTGAAATGTGAAAATAGTCTAGTGCTGGCCATTGTAGGAAGCTTAGACAGAACTAGGCATACTTATGATTATGATTATTTGATTGATTTTATATACCACCCTATACCCGGAGGTCTCAGGACACTCTTTAGCATCCTTATTCTCTTTGCTTTTAGTCCCAACTCAAGTGCTTTTAAAAATATGAACTTGTGGTTTGGTCACTTGGAGGTGCAAAATTTGTGTACTATCATTTAAAAATAAATTTGCTGCTTTTGTACTGACCCTTTTACAGCCAAATAGTGTTAACATCTCATATTTGTTTGGTTACAACTATAAAAGAAACAAGTAGATTTGCCCTGTCTTTGCATATAAACCATGAGATCACTAGCTTAGAGTGTTTTTAACCGTTTCTAGAATACTTTCTAGAAAATTTTGTATTATTGATACATTTGTAGCCCTGGAATCCTTTAGCAGAAAGGGTGGGATATACAGTGGTACCTTGGTTTAAGAACAGCTTAATTTATGAACAACTTGGGTTAAGAACACTGCAAACCCGGAAGTAGGTGTTTTGGTTTGTGAACTTTGCCTTGGAATAAGAACATGTTTCGCTTCTTGTTGAGTGTGTTCCATTTGCAAATTGAGCCCCCCGCTGCTATGGGAAAGCACGCCCTGGTTTAAGAACGCTTTGGTTTAAGAATGGACTTCCGGAATGGGTTAAGTTAGTAAACCAAGGTACCACTGTAAACAGAATTATTAGTAATGAAATGAAATTGTTAATTAATTTACATTCATAACCTGGAGTACATGCTTAGTTCAACCCTGATGTTTTAAAATGGTGGTCCTACTGGATCAAATTCCCAGCAGGTAAAATCCTAGGGAGCCAAGCTAGTGCCTTATCAGGGACTAATAGGAGCTCAAGAGGCAGATGCCTAGTTGCCTGTGGCCTCCATTGGAATATAAGAACTGGGAGCAAAGTTGACATTCCATATTAGACGAATAGCACTACATTTTATTGCACAGTGAAGCTTGCTGAACTGGTACCTGACTATGTATTGCAAATCATATAATTTGTTTTCAAGTAATGCTGGTTAGGCTTGTTGAGCAGTGGGTCAGCATTGCAGAGGATATTAGCAGAGAAGGCAACATAGCAGCCTGTTTTTGTAGTTAGCTAGGTCATAGATGATAGGTTTAAGGAGGTTTTTAAGCTGCTCTGCTGAGAAGGTGAATGCTGCTGGACACCGTGTAACATAACTTCCTAGCAAATGAAACAGATTTGCACTGAGGGTTTTAGAAGAGAATAAGAAAGAGGATAGCCAGTGCATGAAAGATCCTCTTGTCAGATTCCTGGATACTTTGGCATTCTTAATGGATATCTAAATTTCCACCTCTCGTTACAAAAAATGCTTGAGGAATACAGTGGTACCTTGGTTCTCAAACTTAATCCGTTCCGGAAGTCTGTTTCAAAACCAAAGCGTTCCAAAACCAAGGTGCGCTTTCCCATAGAAAGTAATGCAAAATGGATTAATCCATTCAATACTTTTAAAAACAACCCCTAAAACAGCAATTTAACATGAATTTTACTATCTATCGAGCGCATTGATCCATAAAATGAAAGCAATAAACTGCAATCTACCCAGTATCACAAACTGGCAGTGATCTACCCATTGTCCTTGGAGGGATGAGGAGTGCATGCGGGGTGCGTGTGTGGAAGGAGGTGGCTAACTGGACGTGGGAGGGGGAGAGTTTAAAGGGGGGGAGGAAAGGGAAGCAAAAGTTCTCTCCCCCCCTCAAGCCAGCCCTTCTGGATCCCCACCCCCACCCAGCGCCCTTCTTCACCTTCTTCAGGGCTGGCATGAGCAGCCCCTGCCACTTGGGCACGTTTTCCGCGGTGAAGAACTCGTACTGCGGCGGCAGCGCCTGCACCCTGCCTGTGCCATCCCATGCCCTGTGAGGGGAAGTGGCAGCAGTCACTGCTGAGGCCGAGCCACTTGCCATTGATCCGGGACCTGGAGCGGCAGCCGCGGGTGACATCCGGAACTGGAGGGGGGCAGAGGCAGCAGGAGTTGCCGGAGGTGGTTGCTGCTTCAGTGGCGGTGGTGGAGGGACGCAGCGTTGGGGGGAGACAGCGACATCCCTTGCCCGCATGCTTGCTGACCAGCCCGGCCTTCCCTCAGTGCCGGGGCTGGCCTGGGACACGGCACCGCTGGGCAGCCTTTCCCTCAGCAGGGCAGAGGGTGGCAGAAAGGGTGACGAGGGGAAGCTTTGAATTCTCGGTTGGCGCAAGCGGGGGGGAGGGGCTGTTCTTCCCTTGCCCTGACGTTTACAACTGCTGGCAAGTGGCACTAAAAACAGAAGTGTGGCACTCAAACAGGAGCATGTTTGGCTTCTGAAAAAAGTTTGCAAACCAGAACACTTCCGGGTTTGTGGTGTTTGGGTTCCAAAGCCGTTCAAGAACCAAGGTACCACTATAGAAAAGCTTTGGAGGAGAGTTAAAATAGTATTGGTTTGTTTTGAAAGATTTGTATATTCAAATGGATTTCATTTTTCTTTTGGAAGGCTGTCTTTCAGTTAACAATTCCAGGGTAAGGACATCATGTATTAAAGACTGCCTACCTTTCTGCTGTAAGGGACGCAGGTGGCGCTGTGGGTAAAACCTCAGTGCCTAGGACTTGCGGGGTGAGCTCCCATCTTTCGGTCCCAGCTCCTGCCCACCTAGCAGTTCGAAAGCACCTCTAAGTGCAAGTAGATAAATAGGTACCGCTTTATAGCGGGAAGGTAAATGGTGTTTCCGTGTGCTGCGCTGGTGCTGGCTCGCCAGAGCAGCTTCATCAAGCTGGCCACGTGACCTGGAAGTGTCTCCGGACAGCGCTGGCCCCCGGCCTCTTAAGTGAGATGGGTGCACAACCCTAGAGTCGGACATGACTGGCCCGTACAGGCAGGGGTACCTTTGCCTTTACCTTTCTGCTGTAGATGATGATGATGATTAATTTTATTATTTGTGCATCAGGAAAAGCTTTCTGACAGTAAGGACATCCTCAGGAGGTTGTGGACTCTCCTTCCTTCCTTTTAAGAAGAGGTTGGATAGCTGTCTGTCATGAATGCTTTAGCTAAGATTCCTCCATTGCAACCCATCTAACTAGGTTGCTTCAGCCACTCTGGGCTCCTTAGTCTCAATGTTGCTCTTCTCAGGGCTGGGCGATAACTGCTTTCCAACATCGTAATGTACCACCAACTAAACACCACAATATGGTGGTATATCACAATGTTGGAAAGGAGCCCAAGTCAAAGCAGCAGCAGATGAGGCAGGTATGCGAACACTCTCTTCATAAGCTTGCCTCATCTGCTGCCTTGGCACCGTCGGGGTGGGGGAGCGAGCAGGCTGCCTTTCCCTCCCCGAGATGGAAGAAGCAGCCCATTCACACCTCCCCCCACCCGTCCCAAGGCAAGTGGGACTGGTGAGGCTCAGCTGGGGGTAGGAGGGCTTCTTTGAGCCTTCTTGCCCCCTGGCTGAGCGAGCCCCATGTCCCACTGGTGAGCTGGAGGGACTGGGGGCGGGGAGGTCCTTGTTGAAGCAGAGAGAGGAACAAGCTGTACTGCGCCTTGCCAATCCAGCTTGTTTCTGCCTCTGCAGCAGTATGAGGGCAGACTGTTATGGCAGTTTCACTCAGCAGTATGTTGCTGGTGAAACTTCCACTGCTTCTGAGTCCCTCTGCCTCCAGGGCTGGCTGCAGCTTGTTTTTCCCTCAGCGCACTGGGCCCTGGGAGCAGAGGGACTCAGGAGGCGGTGGTTTCACCAGCAATGTACCACTGATTGAAGCAGCCATCACAGTCTGCCCCTAATGCTGGTCCTGGGTGATATATGGATGTGTTGCCCAGGCCTACTCGCTACTGAGGAGGACCAAACCAGCAGCCACCACACTTCTTAGCATATTAGGATAGTGTTGCAGTACAAAAACATACCTACCAGATGTTCTCTTGTGGCTCCTCACTGTTTTACAAGGCAGCCATTGGTGCTGATCAAGTTGTTTTGATTTATTCCAGCCATTTTGCAGTTCTAGGACTCCAGGTGAAATGTTTGGTTCCAAACCTTCCTTTATTCATTTATTTGGCAAGCCTCAGTCACGTGTGGTGGTCTCTGGCAATTTCTGGTGCCAGGACCAAGATTGTCCCTTTGAAAAACCTCACTGACTTAGCCTGACAAAGAACTAAATTGCTTTTGAATGTAAGTTTCAGAAGACTATCACAGAAAACACACACATTGCATAATACGCCATTCGCTGCATGACATTAACCTCTGCAGTAGGATAGTGCCACATGGAACCTTCCTCTGTGGCTCTCCAGATGCTGTTGAGCTCCCAGCACCCATCAGCCCCTGCCAGCATGGTCAGTCACGTGGGATGATGGAAGTTGTAGTCCAGAGGGCTGCAAGCTACACATCCTGGTTGGAGCAGTGTATTCATAATGCACAAGTATATTAAACATGAAAGTACAATATGGAATAGTGAGTGGCTGCAAAAACGTTTTATATACTAGTGAGCCAGAACCCAGAAACTGGAGCCAAAAGCCCAAATTTTGTCACATCAAATTGCTGTTTACAATAAACTTCATAAATCATGGAAATTTGTATTCTAATCAGACAAATTTTATTTATCAGGCACAGGTGGTAGTCGGCATCAGCAGAATCATAAACTTCATTTTGGCGGCTGCTTGCTATCTTACTTGCAAATGGTGCAATATTAGAGCAAATAGAGGAATGGGGCTTTATGGATTAGCAGCAAGGATATATGAAGACTAGTAAAATACATTTTAGGCTTACCTAAAACTTGCTGCCCTCAACTTTTAAGACTTAATTCTGCAAGCTGCCCCCTCCCCCCAAAAACAAGTCTCATATGGAGACAGTCACTCACGGACACGCAAGTCTAGCACTCAGGATATAATAAACGTGGTGCTTGCAAGAGAACTAGAAACTTACTACAGTCAATGTCCGTTTCGTGTGGGGGTTCTGTTCCTGGCCCTTGCACACATCAATGGAGCCCCACCCCAGTTAGGGCTCCCCTTTTAGTGATGCCCTTTTAGTGATTCTTTCGGGTGACTTGGGTTCAGCGCTGCATGCATGTACAATCGTACGTCATTCAGATGCGCGTTAATCAGTCATTGCCTGTAGTCTTTTGGAATGTATTTGATTTGGAAGTTCAAGCAAAAATAACTGATGTGAGTGTTAGAGTGATTTTACTTACAGGAACACCTTTGAAAGTTTACTTTGCTCCAAGCATGTCTAGTGCATTGGTGCAAGACCATTCAAGGTGGTGTCAGATTTGGCTGCATTTCTTTGTTCTATCAAACACATGAAAATTAAATGCTGATAAGATGGAACAAGCCAAGAATGATGTGGTAAGGTCCTATGGAGAGTAGGGTTGTATGCCTATTTGAAGTTGCAGGTAACTTTCCTTTTGTGAACATGAGTCATGGTTGTGAAACTCCTATTTGTTTTATAAATATAGGGGTTTGTGGTGGTGACGGCAGTTGAGAGCAGATCTATGGACGTTTTTATCAGTTTTTTGTCTTCTTCGTACCTGGTGATAGCAGAGTTTTCATCAGAAGTCTCTGAAGTCATCTAGTTCCTGGTCAGTATTGGTTTATCATATGTTGAGATTCCTGCATTGCAAGGGTTGGACTAGATGACCCTTGGGATCCCTTCCAACTCTACAATTCTGTGATTCTAGTAGCTTTTTTCCCCACTTTTTGTGGGGGGGGACAGACCTTGACAAATCAGATTATAGCAAGTCCACATTTTGCTGTTACCTTGGTTACAGTGTGCCTAACTCACCAGTGCTTTTTCTCTAGTGTCTTGTGAATCTTGTGTGAAACAGAAGCTGCTTAGGTCAAAATAGAGCACTTGCTTCAAGGTCAGCACTGATTCCTAACTTGGTTCCAAGTGATGATTTTGTCTTAAATTCTTAAGACTTAAAATGTAGGCCTTGCATATTTTTGAGAACTGGACATCTGGATATAGGGCAAGATGTAGCCCAAATGTCCTGCTACCAATCTCTGAAAGCAGTTTCAACTTCAAGTATCCTTGGAGACGGCTTCTGAAAGTGATTGGCTCAATGTGTTCCTGGTTTGATACCATGGGGCACAACCGAGAAACACAGAAGGGCCCTGGAAAAAGGCACACTCCCCCCCCCCATCTGGACTCACCTTCACACTGGAGAGTGGTATGTCTGCATATACAGTACTGACCATCCCTGCCCTAAGAACATAAAGCATAAGGAGAGGCAGCTGGATCCGCCAATGGCCCATCTAGTTCAGTGTCTTGTTCTCACATTGGCCACCCAGATGCCCATGGGAAAACCTGCATAGCATGTGCAAGGGGTATTCAGAAACATTGCCTTTAGGGGTGGCACCCTCAAGTCAGGTGTTTCTCTCTAAAAGTGGGTGGCCACAGCGTGTGCCTGTTTGCTGGAAGTCGTGTTGTAGCTCTGTTTCAAAACTGCCTGTGCTCGAGGCGTTTCTGACTGCTGCTGTTCTAATACCACCTGCATGAGAAAGTCACCGATGATGTGGGAGGTGAAGAAAGCTAGTTGGTCTAGTAAATTCTAATTTTAAAAAAGCCCCATAGTGTACCATATATTGGTACAGTTATGTAACACAGGCTGACAAGGAAATAGAACAGTCTCTCTGTCTCCCTCCCTCCAAACCTGACAAGCTGTTGGGAATTCAGTATGTCTTTTCGGGGTGGAGAGGAGTGTATTCCACACCCTCCCTCCACTTCCTTTTCTTCCTTTTGGAGTTTCTAGATTCATTTTGGGAAGGTAAGCAAGATGCTAGCTCTGACTCCAGCCAATAGGATTGGGCTTCTGCCAAGAGCTTACCTCTTTTGCGTAGCTTGGGCCCAGCCTCCTTTGCAAGTGGCGTGTATAACTCCAGTGACCAAAGTAAAAGAACAGGGAGGCAGGCGCACTCTAGCTTGGGAGCCAGCCGGCCACGTACCTGTGGATTGTGTGGAATTCACACTTCTCTTCCTTTCCCCTTCTTAATTTGAAGAGGTTGGCTTTCTCTCTCTTGCTTCTGCTGGCATATTGTGAATGTCTCTCTGTGTGGAGGAGGCTGGGCAAACAGCACAAAGAACAGCGAGGCTCGCTGGTAAGTGTTTCAGTCCAAGTCTCTTTGTTTTAATATCTTGTTTCTGTCTCCGGAAGATTTTTTTTTTTTGAATGCACAAAGGATAGCTTAAACATATATTGTAAGATTAGCTAAAAGGTGACCTGACAACAGATACCTGTTTAATGTGTGCGTCTCCCCCCCTCCCTTTCTTGTCTTTACCAGAATAAAATGTCTTGTATGTGGTTGGCTACACAATCCTGGCATGTTCTGAAAAGTAAATCCCATCAAAATCAATAAAATTGGGCCATGGATTCTAAGTGGATTTAGGTTTCGTGATTTCTATCTCATTTCTCATGTATGAGTGAGATTTCTAGCAGGGGGAAGCAATTTTCTAATGAAATGATTGCATACTGTAAGCTTGTTAGTATTCAGTAGCTTTTGGGGGAAAAGCATGTTTTAAAAATTGATTACTTTAGAAAAGGGTGCTCTTAATATGTTTGTAAGAGAATCTGCTGTTACTGGTGAATTGGGAAGTATATAGCAATTCTTTGTCTAGGCTGGTTATTTCAAAGGAATTTAAAAATGAATAAACATTGATGACAGGGAAACAAAGCAAATTGAGAACCATCATGTTACAGAACCCGTGAGATGTAATTCAGATATTACACCAGGTTCTTTTCTCTCTTTGAAGTTTACATTCCAGATCAAGCCTTGTACTCAGCATTTGAAGCATCTGTCTCTTTTTTACCCCAGAATGAATGTCTGTCTAAATAGAATCATAGAATTGTAGAGTTGGAAGGGACCACAAGGATCATCTAGTCCAACCCCTTGCAAGGCAATGCAGGAATCTTTTGCCCAACGTGGGGCTCAGACCCACAAACCTGAGATTAAGAGTCTCATCTTCTATCCCAGTTTCTGGTAACTTCCCTTTCTTGACAGAATTGATAACTTTGCCACTGAATCCTTATAGCATTTCAAAAATCTAGGATAGTGAATGCCTACCTTTGAAATAGGCAGTATTTTGTGGGGGTGGAGTTTGAGAGAAGGGGAGGTGCCAAGATAAGTGGATAGGAAAAACTGAGGAAGAATGGCAGAGGAGTATAAAATTGGTTGCTTTGTTTTAACAGCAGAGGCAGGATAGCATTGTGTGTGTGTCTAAGATGTTAACCAAGGATGGTTACACTCTTTGGAACTGGAGCTTTGAGTGATTTTACTTAGAGGGGTTGCAATAACAATTGAGTCATTTTCAGTCATCAACCCTGCTAACAATCATCTCAGAAACCCTTGTGTCACTGCCATAAATGTTATACCTCATTTGTAAGGCCCCCATTTCAGGTAATTAGGTGACAAGAGCACAAGAACCACAATCATATTTGCACATGTATAGAGAGAAGGCAGAATAAAAATCTGGCAGATTTAAAAATCTAGCTTTTGGCTGTGGGGGTTGTAATATATGTTAATAGTGCACAATGTTTGGGTTTGTTAGCTGCCATGACTTTCTTTTGAAAATTGGGCAGGATGTAAGTTGTTGGTTTTTTTAAATTGTTTTAGCACTATGTAGTCATATCATATTCTGTTGAAATATGACTTATTCCTGTGGTACAGTTAGGGAAGTGATCTGATTGATTGGGTTTATTATATTTCTATGGCACTTTTCATTCAAATGAATTTCAAATGAATTTCATTCAAAAGGTAAAGGTCAAGGGACCCCTGACCGTTAGGTCCAGTTGTGGATGACTCTGGGGTTGTGGCGCTCATCTCGCTTTATTGGCCGAGGGAGCTGGCGTACAGCTTCCGGGTCATGTGGCCGCTTCTGGCAAACCAGAGCAGCACACGGAAATGCCATTTAGCTCCATAAAGGTAGAGGAGCCTTGACAGTTGAGTCCAGTCGCAAACGACTCTGGGGTTGCAGCGCTCATCTTGCTTTACTGGCCGAGGGAGCCAACATTTGTCCGCAGACAGTTTTTCCGGGTTATGTGGCCAGCATGACTAAGCCGCTTCTGGAGAAACCAAAGCAGTGCATGGAAACGCCGTTTACCTTCCCGCCAGAGCGGTACCTATTTATGTACTTGCACTTTGACGTGCTTTCAAACTGCTAGGTGGGCAGGAGCAGGGACCGAGCAACGGGAGCTCACCCCATTGCAGGGATGCGAACTGCCGACCTTCCGATTGGCAAGCCCTAGGCTCAGTGGTTTAGACCACAGCGCCACCCGTGTCCATAGCTACTGATAAACCCATCCTCCATGAATGTTTTAACCCTTCTTTAAAAGGGTATGCATACACCCCCATATATACACACTAGCACCACGATCCCAGAAATAAAATGTTTTGCATTTATATCCTACTTTTTTCTCCAACAGGCTCAAGGTTCTTGCACTCCTTAATTTATCCTCACAACAGCCCCTACGAGGTAGGTTAGGCTGAGAGATGGTGGTTGGTCACCCAATGAGTTTAATGGCTGAAGGGGGATTTGAACTGTGGTATCTCTGGTCCTAGTCCAGCACTCTAACCGCTACACAACACTGTTAAAAACTCATTGTACATATAGAGATATACATGCCAGCGAGGGTTCCTTTTGCTTTCCATGCCTATATCTGCACACACAGAGCTTTTTCTGGCATTTCCTAAGTGGAAGTTCATTGAAGTATGGTAGCAGTGCATGTGGCTAGTGGCCAGCATGTGCCAACTTCAAACTGGGGACTCAGGAGTTTCAGTGTAACAAGTGTCATCCCTATTGATGTTTAGTATAGCCTATGCATGTACAGTTGTACCTTGGAAGTCGAACAGAAACCGTTCTGGAAGTCCGTTCGACTTCCAAAATGTTCAGAAACTAAAGCACAGCATCTGATTGGTGGCAGGAAGTTTCTGCAGCCAATTCGAAGCCGCGGAAGCCCCGTCAGACATTCGGCTTCCAAAAATAGTTCACAAACTATTCCAAACACTTCCACAGTGAAGGCTGAGGGAAAGGATTCATTTAGCTTCTCTGCCATCTCCCTGTTTTCCTTCAATACTTCATTCAGACTTTTACGTTCTAAAAATCCTGCCTCCTTGACTGATTTCCTGCTTTTCATATATTTAAAGGAATATTCACTGATTCTGCACCTTCAACGATATGCTCCTAAAATTCCTGACTTGGTCATATTATTATCCAACTTACACCCCCCCCCCCAAGTTTATTATCCTTTTTCAATTTCCCCCTGTTTCACAGGACGACTTCTTTTATTGCTTCATTCACACGGCTATTTAGCCACACTGGCATCCATTTGGACTTGTGTGAAACTTTCCTAATCTGAGCCTCTGTTATAGTGGTTTTAAATAGTGTTATAGACAGGACAAACATAGAAATTAATAAATGCTATGATTTTTGTTATTTGTGGTAAGAAGGGAGAATGCAAGCTGCAATTCCTGGGCTGAGTTATGCAATCCAGCTTGGCTGGCTGAGGGAAGAGCAGACTGTTAGCACTACAAAATGGTGCTGATGGGCCACAGAAGGGTCATTTGGCCTGGGGAGTGAGATGTCACAAAGGTTGCCCAGGGGAACTGTGTGTTTGAGAGGGACAGGAAAAGGGGAGTGTTGAAACAGGGGCTTCTGGGCAGAAGGAGGAGGAAGTAAGGCTGAGATCCATCTTGGAGGAGGAGATGAAAGGTTGCCTGCAATGCCATGGGTCATGCTGTGAGCTCTGGACTACCTCCATGCAGACTGAAGGTGTAAATAGGTGAATAAACCATATTTATTAAGGCATGACAGTCTCCGCCGTGTCTTCTATTCTCTAAAGGAACACAGATCCTGTGTGTGTGCCTGTGACTCCATGCGCTCTTGCCACCACTTGGCAAAGAGAGGGGCAGGCACCAGGGTTTCGTAACAATAATTTCTGAACATCTTAAAAATATATTATCTTCCTAACTTTCTCCTTCAACTTGCTTTAAATTAAAACTCTCATATATTCCCTCCCAAAACTAAATGTGTTGATGTGTTTTCCAGACAGCTTCCCACACTTTACATTCATATTTTTTTTTTTTTTTTTGGTTATTTCAAAGTGGGTAAACAACAATTACATGACTATAACATGGGCCGGGATACCACTCAGTATTAAATCAAGTACTACCTTTCCTTTTGCTGGCTCTAAGACCAAGTAGTTTAAAGCTCAGTCATTTATTACATGAGAAATGTCTCCCCACTGTGACCTGATCAATGAGTGTGATAATAAACACTTTTAAAAAGGCGTCCATTATCACAATACTTTGGTTATGAGAATCCACAGATCCACTAATTGGAGCCAGTTGCAAAAAGCACATGTGTAAAATTATAAGAAGTCTGAACCCAGGAATTTATTTTGAGTACTGAAACGGAATGGAGATCCCCGACTCAATCCTCCCTCCTCAATTTTCTTAACTTCAGCACAGTTTTTGTTGTTGCAATCATATTGGTGTTGCCCTTGTCACTTCTACTTTAATTCCCCCCCCTTTATATTTTACCAAAAGATACTATCTTAAAAACAAGACACTCGACCACGCAAAACTTGGCAGCCGTGGGGGCGGAGGGATAGAAGAAGCAGTGTTTTTGCTACTGAATCCTACCCATGTTTGAAGACCCATGACATTCCATGACACACGCAGGGGAAGCATGCTAAAGAGCTCCCCAAGTTGGTGGGTATAATGTCCGTGCATAAAGAGTTTCAGGATAATGCTTTCCACAGATCTTGAACAACAGGAATTTGCTTCAAGACCATATTTGGCCTATTTGCAAAGTAAAGTGGCATCACCACACAACAGTATCCATACATCTACATGAAGAACCAAAGTAGCACAAAAGGCCTTTACACTAACTTGGCAAATATTCGCACAGAGCACACAAGGGGGAATTAAGAATATAAGGAGAGCCCTGTTGGATCAGGTCAAAACAGGAGGGCCACGCAAGCAGGACCTGAGGGCAACAGCATTCTTCTCACTTGTGATACCCAGCAGCTGGTATTCAGAAGCATACTTCCTCTGACTGGAGTGAAGCTTTGCGCTCAAATCACTGAACAGAGTGAAAGGTTATGAGTCTTGGGGGTGGGGAGAGTGGGTGTATGAACTCACCAGTGCTCGGTTTATTTTTTGGTTGCTATTTTGTTCATGTTGGTGTTCTGTAGATTATAAATGTTACAGTACCTTTGTGAATCCTATAATTTATCATTTGTAATTGTGCTGTTTAGCTTTTTTTATAGTTGTTTTGCTGATGGTGCTTTATGGATTGTAATTGCTTTACTGACAATTTGTTAATTGTTCTATATGATTTGTGCTGTATTTGTGATGGTCTGTTCTGTTATTGTTATTTACTGTTTGTAAGCCAGGGACGCAGGTGGCGCTGTGGTCTAAACCACTGAGCCCCTTGGGCTTGCCGATCAGAAGGTCGGCGGTTCGAATCCCCGCCATGACAGGATGAGCTCCCGTTGCTCAGTCCCTGCTCCTGCCAACCTAGCAGTTTGAAAGCACGTCAAAGTGCAAGTAGATAAATAGGTACCGCTCTGGCGGGAAGGTAAATAGTGTTTCCGTGTGCAGCTCTGGTTTCTCCAGAAGCGGCTTAGTCATGCTGGCCACATGACCCGGAAAAACTGTCTGCGGACAAATGTCGGCTCCCTCGGCCAGTAAAGCAAGATGAGCGCTGCAACCCCAGAGTCGTTTGCGACTGGACTCAACTGTCAGGGCTCCTTTACCTTTATGGAGCTAAAAGCAAACTGCCGCTTGAAAAGTACTTTATTGGGATTTTAATAACAGTAACAATAAACAATAGTGGAAATAAGAGAGGTTAGAACAAGAATTAAAATGAAAGTACAACAGTTCTGAAAAGTAGACATATCATGTATAAAACTAATTGGAACAAAACATACTTCTAATAACTTATGTCTATCTCAGTTGCACTTTTGGTCTCTAGATTACAGACAATTCTGTATGTATTTTCAGTGAGTAAGTTGGAAAGTAATGTCAATATGTTGAGGGAAGGGATAGAAAGGAATGTTTTTCCATGCCAGTTTGCCAGGGATTTGCTAAATCAGATGTTCAGACTCTGGGGCCATGAAGCAGAGGAAGGCTGCTGCCTTCATGCCCTGATGGCAGGCTGGCCACCAAGGAGCCATGGTGTTTTGAAATCAGGTTTTCCAGCTGCAAAATTCCCTGTGAGACACGCCCTCCCCCCAAGTCAAATGAATACAACGCATGTTTTGCTCCCTGCTTAGTCTGTGTCAGTGGTGGTTTCTCCATAGGAACCAGTAGTTCTTATCTACAATACTGTAACTAACAGGACAATCCAACAGCTTTGCAATGGTGTAAATCTTAACTCAATGACACAATGGTGGAAGGTCCATTGGATCATCCCATCCTGATATCTATTCCTGCTGCCTGATGAAAATTGTGTGGCCAAAATTGGTACCTCTCAAGCACTGGACTTCTCCAGCTTTCACCAAGTTTACCTGCTGAGCTCAACTTGGCTGGTTGCTTAAGATGCTTCGTTTTACGCTGCAGTCAGTAGCGCTTGTAGTACAGACTTTTAGTACTGACTACTGTTAGCTCACAGAGGAAGGAGAACATCTCCTGGTGCCATGTGGTATTATTATTGTTTGGTTGTTTGTGGTTTTAGGGCATACACGTGGCTTTAAAAAAAGGAATAGAAAGCAGGATAACTACCCCCCCTCCTGATTGAAAACATCCCTGTGCTGTGCCAAACGCAGACTCTGGTTTGTGCTTGTCCTAGCCAGCAAAGAATCTCCAAAAGCTACAGTTCTCTGTCCTTAAGTGGCCTCTTGCTCAATCTGCATCCCTGGTGTTGCTAAATTCTTACACTGAGATTCAGTGTTTGTTCTCTCTATTTAGGAAAATACCGCAAGACAGGCCCAATCTTCATTGCCTGCAAGGTCTTCCCTTCTCTCAATTTATAGCAGCTGCAGCACAATCTGCAAGGGTTGTGCTCAGAAGTAAAAGCAGGGCCCAATTGCCCGTGGAAACAGAATTTTTGCATCCATTGCAATGTGTTAGCATGGGTGACAAAGCATTACCTGCCTGAGGGTGAAGTAGAGGTGGCCCTAGCCCCAAATAAGGTGTGTTAATATAGTTTGGGCAGTTTAAGTATGTAAACGGAGCACATTCAGCCTTCGTGTAATTTGTGTGTCATTTAACACATACACCTAATGTGTCTCATTCTCCCCCACCCCAGTTGATCCATCTGCACTTCCTTCCCACCCAACTGCAAATTTGTGCCCAACTGCACCCCCCCCCCCGGCAAGGAACTATGTAGGTAGAAGTGCCACAGAGGCACACTCACAGTTAAAGGTATATGGTAATAGCACACTGCTGACTTTAAAATAGCCACCTTGTGCAAAAAGATACATGTAATTCTGTGACATTGTGTGTGGGAAGCTGAGAACATCACAGATAATACGTAGGATGGTGTTGTGATTTCCTCAGAGTAGGATCATCTGTTGCTTTTGCATAACAGCAAAATGTTCCCGGGTTAATAGACTTTATATAGGTTTTGTGTTTGGCCTCAACCTCTAAAGCAGGGGTGAATAATAGGATCTGGCCAACCCTCCATAGGCCACTTTGACAGGGGAGTGGGACTGCCCACCTGTCAGTCATCTTTTTTATGTCGGGAGATTCAAGCTGCAAACTCTATCTGCAAAGGAGGAATCAGTAGCACTCGCTCACACGTGTGCTCCCTTTCTTCCTTTCCTTCTTTGCATTTGTTGTTGTTTAGTCGTTTAGTCGTGTCCGACTCTTCGTGACCCCATGGACCAGAGCACGCCAGGCACTCCTGTCTTCCACTGCCTCCCGCAGTTAGGTCAGACTCATGTTTGTAGCTTCGAGAACACTGTCCAACCATCTCGTCCTCTGTCGTCCCCTTCTCCTTGTGCCCTCCATCTTTCCCAACATCAGGGTCTTTTCCAGGAGTCTTCTCTTCTCATGAGGTGGCCAAAGTATTGGAGCCTCAGCTTCACGAATCTGTCCTTCCAGTGAGCACTCAGGGCTGATTTCCTTAAGAATGGATACGTTTGATCTTCTTGCAGTCCATGGGACTCTCAAGAGTCTCCTCCAGCACCAGAATTCAAAAGCATCAATTCTTTGGTGATCAGCCTTCTTTATGGTCCAGCTCTCACTTCCATACATCACTACTGGGAAAACCATGGCTTTAACTGTACGGACCTTTGTGGGTAAGGTGATGTCACTGCTTTTTAAGATGCTGTCTAGGTTTGCCATTGCCTGTCTCCCAAGGAGCAGGCGTCTTTTAGTATTGTGACTGCTGTCACCATCTGCAGTGATCATGGAGCAACGGCAAAAGACAATGGCAAAAGTCAAATCAATGTCAAACTAGGATGGGCAAGATAAGATAGGATTCCAACTTGCTTCTGGGCCCCTTTATGTTGTTTAGGTGCCTCTTTTGTATCAGTGGGATAAACTAATGCAAGTTAATCTATATAAACCAGGCTAAAGTTGCATGCGGGTGTTGGAATCCCTGGTGAGTGGTTTGACATGCACACACATTGTCTGGCAAACTTTGTTCAGTGCATGGACCTAATGTAGGCTCCATCGAGAGAGAGATTCCCTCAATTTGTCAGGCCATTCCCTACTTTTGAAACTGTTTTATGGGATGGCACTTTGCAGACACTGAGAGAGAGAAAGGAAACCTGCTTCACCAGAGTCATTACCGTGGTACTGATTTTTAAATACAAGTGCAGCAGTTCTATTTGAGTTAACCTCTTGCTCCATCTACCTCAGCATTCGTGTGTGCTCTGCAGTGGTGGCCATGTGCTAATAAACAGATCAAGTAGGCCATTGTGATAGAGTAACCACTTGGATCAGTTAGCCTGGATGTTACAGATTTCTCTCAGGTCCATGAATTTCCCAAAATAAGGTTGAACAGATTTAGCAGGAACAACCCTTAATGTAACGAACTGGCTATGGCAGCCCTTTGCATAGGTTTTGGGGGAGGGTTGTTCCCCAGCAAGAGGAGTACCTGTTTCCATTGCAGTGCGAAACCTCAGCCCCAGTGCATTGCTTGTTGCTTCGGGAGCTTGGCCAAGTGGTGTAGGCTCACATTTGTAATGAAGAACAAGCACACTTGCAAAGGAGCTGCCAAGCCTTACAGGCTGTCTTGTTGCTATGCTAGGGCTTTGCATTCTTTTCTTGTCCCCCTCATATGTGTGTGCTCAGAGAGTCTGCCAGATTCTGAATTAAGCAGCAGAATGGTACTGAATTATCAACTTTTAAAAAACAACAGCGTGGAAACTCAGTGTTGTCCATTAGGAATTAGGAATTCTTTTAAATATGTGATTGAATTTCCCCTTGGCATATTGTTTTTGGCTGACAAAAGTGGGCCATGGGAGACTTTTTAGGTTCTAAAGATTTCAAATTAGTATGCTTCCAAAGGGAAGAGAGGGTGAATTTGTGCTACTGGTGTCAAAGTTATACTTCCACTTCCACCTACTGCTGCTATCTTTTTAAACCTTGCCTGCACTGGGTGAATTGAGGATGTTTCAACCTGAACTGTACAAGAGGAATGTAACTTTAAAGCTATGCCATACAAAGGCTTCTGAGGTGGGAACATGCAGGATGCTTCTAAACAAAAGGGGCGTGTGTGTGTGTGTGTGTGTGTGTGTGTGTGTGTGTGTGTTAGAGGAGAGGAGGGACAAGAGGAGAGAAAGTTTAAAAGAGAAGGACTTTCCAGGGCAGTGTTATGTGAACCAGATAATCAAAGAAGTAGAAATGCTTGGCACAATTTTGAAAGTTAGAACTTTCAAGAAATGGAATTAATAGTGTCCAGTGTTGTGTAGTTCCATAAGCCAACCTCTCTTATCAAAGTGAAACCCTTGCATGTTGCATGCTTAGTTCTTATGCAGTCAAATAGAATTATGTGAGTGGAGTTAAGCCCAGTAGCAAAACATGTTCTTAAACCATTTAATAGCTTTTTAAGGAGCCAAAGCACCAGTAAACAAGATAACCAATTCACTAAATAATATCCTATACATTTGTCATGCACAATAAGTGCATGCTCAGGATTAGTGCAAGAAAGTTGCATGCATATACTTGTAACTATTTTACAAATGTGTACCTCCTTACATTCCATTTTGAAGAGCTATAGCTTTGTATCAGGCAGGAAAGGGGGGCGGGAATGCAGCTTCCTAGAAACTGGGTTTTTCCACGCTGTATCTTCCTCCTACCCCCCTCCTTTTGTTGCATCTAGTAAAAATGGCTGACTTTACTAGTTTTAAAACAGCATAAAGCAATGGTTAAGAGTGTTAGAGTTTTGGATTTGGGAAGCCAAGATTCAAATCCTTGCTTAGTTGTGAAGCTCCCTGGGCTTACCTTGGGCAAGTCACTTAGCCCAAACAACCTGTTAGGAAAGTTGTAAAATTGAAAATGTGACTTTGAACTCTCCTAGGACAACTATGGTTGTTATAACTAAGGTGGCCATTGAAGTGCTTCTGTAAATCATGCTTCAAGAATAACCACTATCAGGATAACTCAATATGGAAAGACTTATCCACAAATTTTGGTGCATGGGAGGCACTCTGTTGAAGGGTGTGGTGGGGAGACTGTGTGTTGGCAAGCTATAGCTTTTCCTCAGAAAAGTTGCTTGGCCAGTGGCTTGAAATTTATTTGGCTGCATTCAGACAGTTCTTTATTCCATCTTCCTGATACTTACGTTTTAATTTTGGAAAAACTGGAGACCAAATTCCCCACCATTGATCTGCTAATTACCACACAAGGGTGGTTAATGACAATTTCAAGCTTGTGAGAGAGCTGGGCTTTGACACCCAGGATCCCCTGCCCGAGCTTCTCTCTGGCCTGCAACATTCCAAAGACACTCCTATAAATGATGCTGAAGTTTGCCTTGCCAAGTTGTGTGTGTGTGTTTTGACAGGGTGATCCTGAATGGTTCGTTACCAGGTGACCTGCCAGGGGAGTTCACGTTTGTTTCCTGGCGAGGAAATAGTGTGTTCGACTACATCTTAGGGTCCTCAGCACTGATAAGTCAGTTTGAAACGGTTCAGGAGGTAGACCACATGGAGAGCGGTCGCCTCTCTGTGATCTTAACTGTCAACTCCCCCTTTCCCATGTGCCCCCTTCAGGAACCCCCTGTCAATGGAAGTGACTCAGCCTGAGCCATGAACTTTGCCGTGAGCGACCACACCACTAGCGATTATTCATCTTTGACCTTGGCCACCAAATTTGACAGTCCCACGCTTGCGCCTCTGCCTCGGTTCCCTGATGCAAGCAAAGATGTTGTGCTTAGGATCCCTTGGACCACAGACTCACCTTACAAACTTCTCCAACAGTTCTAAAGTGAGACCATGTTGGAATACAGAGCTTCTATAATTAACTCAGTAAACCCCCAAGAAGCTATTGAAACATTTGAAATCCTAATAAGATCTCTAAATGAGTTTTCAAAACAACAATTCAAGATGCAGAAACATTCCAGGGAGGCCTTTGCTGCCGTCTGGTTTGATAAAGAATGCAGAGCACTCAGAGCACACATCCGGAGTATCTATTGACACCATCATAAGGAAGAGGCAACCACCCTATCCCCATAATATTTCAGGTCTTAAAATTTGTTGCAGCATCTTATTGAAAAAAGAGATCTGAACATACCAACAAACAATAGGAACAGCTCCTTTATACCATAACCTCAAACAAGTAAAGGAGATTCTGGTCCTTAGTTTCTGGGGCATTCAATACTACTTACCTCTCCTCTCCACCCATTTTGCCTAGTGGTTCGTACCACTACTTTCCAGGTGTCCTGCACGAGGAACATTCCAGTGAAGCGACTTGTCATCATTCTATTCAAATGGATGCCCCCAAGTGGCCCCAAGTTTCATCAGATGAAATAAAAATGTTGATAGGCCAGTTAAAGCAAGGGAAAGCCACTGGCCCAGATGGGATAGGCCCCAATGTTCTTAAACTACACCCTGACTGGTGGGGCCCCTTGCTGGCCAACCTGTTCACATGGGTAGATATGACTGGACTTATGCCAGAGGCATGGACAAGCACAATTATCATTTCAATATACAATAAGGGAGAGTGCACATTACCACCTAACTATAGACCATTAAGCCTCCTCTCTATAGTGGGGAAGCTATATGCTAAACATCTCTTGGGAAAGCTTACCCAGTGGATGTCCCAATTTGCCTTACCAGGCTCTGAGCAGTTGGGTTTATGTCAAGGAAAAACTACCTTGGATCATTGTGTCATACTTTCTCACCTAGTGGACAAATACTGTAGGGTTCCTAATCAAAAACTTTATACCGTCTTTTTGAATCTAAAAGAAGCCTTTGACTCAATCCCGAGGGAGTTGCTCTGGAATAAACCGTCCAAAATGAACATCCACTTAAAGGTTACTTTTTCTCCTTAGAAAACTACACACTTCCATGAGGCGCCAGGTGAAATGCTCTCAATTAGGCAGGCTAACCCCAAAAATCCTCGTCTACAAAGGGATAAAACAGGGTTGCATCTTAGCCCCATATTAATTCATTCTTTTCCTAAAAGACCTATTTACGCAGGGTGGGTGGCCACTGCCCAAAGCTCAGCTCCATCACGTTCCCATCTTACTATAGGTCAACAATGCAGTCATTCTGTCTTGCACAAGGGTTGACTTGAAGCAGCTTCTGTGCTGCTGCCAGGAATAATGTGTAGCTAACAGCCTGGACAAGGGACGCGGGTAGTGCTGTGGGTAAAACCTCAGCGCCTAGGACTTGCTGATCGCATGGTCGGCGGTTCGAATCCCCGCGGTGGGGTGAGCTTCCGTCGTTCGGTCCCAGCTCCTGCCCACCTAGCAGTTTGAAAGCACCCTTAAGTGCAAGTAGATAAATAGGTACCGCTGTATAGCGGGAAGGTAAACGGCGTTTCCGTGTGCTGCTCTGGTGCCGGTTCGCCGGAGCAGCTTCGTCACGCTGGCCACGTGACCTGGAAGTGTCTGTGGACAGTGCTAGCTCCCGGCCGCTAGAGTGAGATGAGCGCACAACCCTAGAGTCTGTCAAGACTGGCCCGTACAAGCAGGGGTACCTTTACCTTTACCTTAACAGCCTGGAACTTCACTTCACAAAATCAAAAGTGCATGTTTTTTCAAAATCTGGAAGCCTCACAGGTGGGAGATCAGTGGTAATCTGTTGGAACAGGTTAAAAATTTGAAATACCTAGGCACCCCACTTCCAATACAACGCCTCCTGAAAATACCATTGTAAGCTCACACTTAATGGGGTGGATACTTTTGCTCTGGCTATTACGGTACCTGTTTCTTCTTCAACAGAGGGAATCAATACATCCCAGCTGCACTAAAGGTCTTTAATGCAAAAGTAGGCCCAAAACCTACGCATGGCATCCCATTATGGATTGGTGCAGTTAACCAGTTGTTGAAACACATCCAATCAAAATTTCTGGGCAAAATCCTGGGGCTGCCAAAGTGTGCTGTATGCAGCCATGTGTCTGGAAACGGGCTTCTGGAAACCAAAGTGTGGCTCACCACTATAAAATTCTGGCCCCGCCTACATTTCAAGTCTGACTTTTCATATGCTAGCAGAATTCCACCACTCAATGGTTAGCTTGCATTGAGAACAAAATCAAAACCTGTATCCTGTCACTCGAGTCGTTGCTTGTGCTCCCACAATTGGAAGCATTCTAGACAATCAGGCGTAGAATTCTAGAGATTGAATTCCAAACTCTTAGCCGCACAGCCAATAAAACCCATTCCCCATTGGGGTTAGGAATTCCATCCTCGTATGGTCAGGGCACTCCATATTTACATCATCTTTACAATCCCCACCTACACAGAGCTCTTCCCTCACAAGATTTAATGTTTTGCCATCTACAGTTTTGCAAGGTAGATTCTCTAAAATCCCATATGCTGAAAAGCACTCCCCTTGTGGCACAAAACAGGTCGAATCCATCACACATGTTTTATTTCATTGCCCATTTTATGCAAATAAATAAATAAATATTTGGTCCCCTTATTGAAGGAGGGGATCTATCACACTGACTCTTCCAGGGTGTCCTATCTGCTGAATAATTGTAGGATTGATGCTGTGGGGAATGTGGCAAGATTTTTGAGTGATGCCATGAAATTCCGTCACCATAGGTCCTAAGAGCCACTTTTGTATCTCACGACGTCCGGACGGTTTTATCCTAACGTACCTCTTACTATGTTTTATTACCCATGTTGTGTTCTGATCCATATATACAACACACTCTTTCTATGCCAGTAAAGGAGATTGATTGATTAATACTTGTTATTTTTCATGCTTTATGTGACCTATCAAATAACCTACAAGCCACTTGTAGAATCTAGCAGAAGTTTAGCACTTATTTCTCTGTCAATTGCTTCCAGAAAAAAATCCAGTTCAACCCTGTCAAATCACTGGATTTCAAATCATTGTAATTTCACATGATAAAGTTTGGGGTAGTATCCCAGCATGCAGTTCTTTCCTTCTGTTCAGAATTTAGTGTGAGATGGTGGTCTATGGACCAAAAAGCCACCATCCCATAACACAACATGCACCACAGTGTAAAAGGAGCATTAGAAATCAGAACAGAAGCACTAGCATTATATCCAGTAATACTAATGCAATAAATCCCACATCTGAACGCAGCCTTTGAAAGAAGCCTTGTTCTCTCTCCAGCGCAGAAATAACACTCCCCAAGTGTTATGCAGTGCAGACATAAAACTCAACATTACCATGCCGCAGGAGTGGCTGGGTGATCATATCTTTCTTGTGCCTTCCCTCTTCCTCACACGACCTGTGCTAACTATGATAAAGATACTCCTAAATCCTGGCTGTAGAATAATTTGTTCGTTCCCACCCCACTACAAAAAATCATGGTTAAGAGGAAGAATGCAATGCCTTGTTCCCATTTACTGATTGATTATTAGTGATCAGGGAGCATTAGATCTGTACCAGTTCTATATGTTAAGTGCATTTCCTATATCACTTTATGTAAGATGGAGATTATTCTGACAAGTGGCTCTTAAATAGGTTTCTGTATTTTCCACCTCTGTGCTTCAAATGTAACATGTGCACTCAATTCAAAACTGAATCTTCTACTTTCTATTCCTTTAGCACCATTCAGAAGCAGGATACTATAGCTAAAAATGCATCTCTAAACAGTAATTGTGAAAGTGGTCCTCAAGTAGTTATTTTCTTTAAGCCCCTTAGACTACATAATAATGCAAATAGCATTTCATCTTCCAAGCTAGTTTCCTTTATCATACCCAACTTGCGTTTCAGATGTGGCTGCCTGTAGAAGTCAGTAGAATATTGTGGTTTCCACTTAAAACTTGTTTTCACCCTGATATTTGCAGTCTGTAGGCCTTGCCACAAGGGGCTAAGGGGGCGCAGATGTCCACATACTGCCTTGCCCACATTCCACACACCCATTCACCAAAGCTGCCAGAGCGTTTTGGCAAGTGTATTCTCAGCCATTGCTGCTTGTCCTGACTTGGGGTGGGGTGAAGAAAAAGAAGCACGAATCAGTGGTCACAGGGAGGGGAAAGCCTCAGCAGCTGCCAGTACAAGAGGCCTAAAATGAGTCTCAGGGAACTCTCCACTCCCCTTCCTCTGACTGCAGCTGCTGCTTCAAGATCCATTCTCTCATTTTGGCACACTGTCTTTTCTGTCTTTTGGCATTTTTGCCTTTGGGACTGGAGAGTTCTAGAGCCCCCAACTCTCCAAGGCAATTCAGATTCCACCCAGGTTTGAATAGGGAGGAACTGAAAGAGTAATGTGGCTCATAGGCCCATGATTCCAGGCTGAATATAGAATAGCAGAGTGTGATTGTGTATACAATATCCATATTTGGTTATAAATCTGTTACCTACTTCTGAATAAATATGCTTATGATTAAAACATTGTGGGTGTAGGTTTTACTTTGTGGACTACCTAGCCATACTGGCTGGGGCTGATGAGATCTGTAGCCGTAAAAGACTGAGGGGGAATGCCCCTTTATCCATCTATCATCTAGCTATCTATATCTATCTATCTATCTATCTATCTATCTATCTATCTATCTATCTATCATGTTACTGACACTGTTGTTAAGATTACTCCAGCATGTATCTTAACTGCATTTATTTATAATTCTATTTCTGTCCCACTTTTCCTGCAGTGAGCTCAAAGTGGCATTCATGGTTTTCCACCTCCCCATTTGATCCTCCCAACAACCCCATGTGGTCAGGGTATGATAGGCTAAGAGACGGTGGCAGGATTAAGGTCACCCAGTAAATTTAATATCTGAATCGGAATTTGAACCCCAGTCTCTCAATTCTTAGCAAAGCACAGTAACCACTACAGCACACTGTCTCTCTGTAAGTGTGGCAAATGTCATCATTATTAATGATATCCAAGGCAACCTGTGAAATGGGAGGCTTGGGCAATATACAGGATCCTTTTTGCACAAGTGGGCTCAACAGCAGATGAAAGAAAGCTAGTTGTTGTCATTTCTTTTTGTAATACAGTCATACCTCATGTTACGTTTCTTCAGGTTGTGTCCTGCAGTGACCCAGAAGTACCGGAAAGTTACTTCCGGGTTTCGACGCTCGCACATGTGCAGTAGTGCTAAATCGCGCTTCACACATGTGCACAAGCACCAAATCACGCCGCGTATCTGCGCAGATACAGCGCTTCAGGTTGTGGGCTTTTCACGTTGCGAACGGGCCTCCGGAACGGATCCTGTTCGCAACCAGAGGTACCACCGTACATGACTCTAGTTAGTTTTCAACCCACAGAGAAAAGCTGAGCAAAGAAAAAAGGGCACCCTTTAGCTCCTGTAATGAATGAAGTAGGCCTGGAAGGTGAACAATATACTCTTGGTCAGTCTGCAGTGCTTGGCAAAACTGATAGGTGAAACTAATTTCTCCTAAGCCACTCCAATTTATGTCTTAACTTCTCCACTCTCCTCAGGAAATAATGAAAAAGGTTTGCCAAGGTTCTTGATCAGAGAAGTGGACTTTGAGATAAAGGAACTAACTAGGCTCATGTTTTCGCCTGATCAAGAAAACCATCCGTCAAAAGCACCAGTGAAATATGGTGAACTGATTGTATTGGGGTAAGTATTTCTTATTAAAATGAGACCCAGTGAACATGTATTTAACTCTGTGAAGAAAAGCAGTTTTGCTTGTCACTATATGCAATGCAATCTGGACCTGTGAAGATTATTTCCACTGCCATTTTCTTCTTGCACCCTGACTTCAAGCTAAAGCCATCATACTAATGTTGGACGACATGGTTAGTTAGGATATGCCCTCATGGTCTTACTATTGTTCATGACTTTGGACATGATCCAACCACCACTAAACATTTTTAAGCTCCATCAGTTCCAGCAGGAGAGATTTAACATATATGTAAGCTTCTCACTGAAATCAATAGGGCTTAATGTTGGCTGTATTGTGTCATTTATTATGAAGGTATTTGGTTTATGGTACATTAGGCTATAAGTAACAGGCCTGTTAGCAAGAGAGAGCATCTGTTCTTATAGGCTACCCTTCAGTGTATCTGAGTTGACAGTTTCACATAAATTTTACATTTCTGCAATGATTTTTAGAAGGACCTCAGTAGACTTGTAATACTATCTCTAGGGGTGTTTTATATGTATATATTTAAATCATTTGCACCCCTATCATTCAAATGCACAAGTAGTCGTAACCAAAAAAAATCATACTATAAATTAACAATTTAAAAATCAGTTCCAAAATAATTAAAACACTAAAGCAACAGTAGGTAAATAGCACTAAACAGCCAAATATCAGTAATACAGCAGCAGTAAAAATTATTCCAAATATACAAAGACTTTTATTTTGGGTTGAGCAGGAGACTCTTAATCTCAGGGTCGGGGGTTCGATCCCCATGTTGGGCAAAGGATTCCTGCATTGCAGGGGGTTGGACTAGATGACCCTCGTGGCCCCTTCCAACTCTACAATTCTATGATTCTAAGTAGCCAAGATATCTCCACCTGCCCTGCTTCCACTGCCCATTCATTTGGCAAACAATCAGTTACAAACCGAATGCCTTCTTAAAAAGGAAGGTTTTTACTAGCTTTCAGAATGCCATTAAAGAGACGATAAGGTGTTACTTTCTTGGGAGGGAATTTCAGCCACAGGGAGGGGGGAGCCCCTCTTTTTAGTCCTAACCAAGTATACTGCAAGGGATTCTGGGTCACACAGAAGGGCCTTTGATGGTGATCATGTTATACAGGAGAGAAGGAGGTCCTTCAGATATCCCAGTCTTAAACCATTAAGGATTTTAAAGGGAATCACCGGCACTTTGAATTGTTCCTGGAAACAAATTGGAAGCTACTGCAGCTGTTTAGGTTTGAAAAGCACATGCTCAATTTTAACAACTTGGCCATGGACTCTTCAAAGGCAGCTCCATGTATAGAACATTGCAGTAATCCAGATGTAATGCAGCTAGTGCCATGGCCAGCTCTGCCTCTCCAGGAAGGCGCACAGTTGGTGCCCAAGTCTCAGCTTGGCAAAGGCACTTCTGGCCTCGGCAGACACCTGGGCAACCAGGGTCAAGGCCACATACAGAAAAATCCCCATACTACACACCTGCATTTTCAAGGGGAGTGTAGCCACATCCAACACAGAACTGAGTCAGTTCTACTGACTGTGACCACTGTGTCAGGACTAAGCTTCAGTTTGTTTGCCCACATCAGTTCATTTCAGCCATAAAGGCATAGATCTACTTGAGTGATGCACAACTTTTTTATAATAAAAAACCTACACTTAAAAAAAAAAAGATCTTTAATTCCACAGGTTTGTGGTAATATGTCCAAATTAATTCAGAGGCAACCCATCCACAAATACCCTCTGTAATGTCTTCATTCACCCTTTTTCCACAGGTACAATGGCTCTCTGCCAAATGGAGATCGAGGAAGAAGAAAAAGCAGATTTGCTTTATTTAAAAGAGCCAAAGCAAATGGGGTGAAACCTAGCACTGTGCACATTGCCTGTACGCCTCAGGCAGCAAAGGTAAGCTTGACTAATGAGCTTTCGTCTCCAAAGGCCAGCATTTGTTTCGTTATATGGCAGCGGCACTTGCAGCAAATTCTGATAATTAAGTTCACTGAAGTATTCCAATGCAAAGCCAGTTCTTCTGAAAAAGCTAATCTTGCTCATGGAAATGAAGACATTTTCAATAATATCATTTACACTTGCATCCTGCCCTTCTCCACTGAAGTCATGGAAGTGTCCATGTATGTGAACCCTGGACTTGGTCCTTGCAACCACCCTGCCAAAGCAGGTTGGGCTGAGAGCAGGAGTGTCCTAAGATCCGCCGAGTGAGCTTCAGAGGTAGAGCATCTGCTTTGCATGTAGAGGTCCCGGGTTCAGTGCTTGGCATCTCCAGGCAGTGCTGGGAAAACGCTCCTGTCTGGAACTCCTGGAGAGATTGGAATCTGAAGCTGGCCAAAATCCAAAGCTTCAACCTCTGCAACCCACTGCCTCTTGAAAACGTTCACTCTTAAGAGTAAACATTTTCTCAAGCAGCACTGCTCACTATTCCCCACATTCATGTAACACTTGTGGTGGGTACTGTATGGGAAATGCAACAATGCATCTCCTATTTTGAAGGGGTTCTGTCAGTGTTTAAACTGGTACTGAGGTTAGGATAAGGCAATATTAGCAGGTAGTTTATTTGCTTGGCCAATCTCTGGCCTTTGGCACTTGAGATGTGTTTTTTTCAGGACCCACCGTGTTTCTGTTTCTGTGTAGTTTGTTTTAACCGTTTTTAATTTCTGAATTTTGAATTCTTGTAACCACCCCTGGAACTCTTCCCCTCCCTCTTCTGTGCCACTTGTAGTTCCCCTTCCCTGGCTGCTCATGTTTTCCTAGGCCCTCCTATCTGGGCAGCCCCCACCCCGTTGGACTGTGGTGCGAAAGCAGCTCAGCTAACCACCACAAAATAAATGTTGTAATGCATATGACTTTTTATAATCAGCCAGTGGGAAATATGATTTATTTATTTATTTAATCAGACTATAGCTCATACAGCAGCACCTGTGGAAAAAGCAAATTCTGTGTTAGGGATAATAAGAAAAGGGCTAGGAAATAAAAATACCAGTACCAAAATGTCATTATATCAATATTTGTTGCGACTCGGACTGCTGTGTTCATTTCTGGTCAGCAAGCCTGAAAAAAGATCTCACAAGTGCAGAAAAGGACAACCAAAATGATCAAGAGATTGGAGCAATTTGCATGTGAAGAAAGCTTTTTAGTTTAGAAAAAAAGGTGAATAAGATGGGAAAATATGATGGAGATGTATAAAATTATGCATGGTTTGGAGAGAATGGATAGGGAGAATCTTTCTCTCTTTAGATGCTGCAACTTGGGGCCATCCAGTGAAGCTGGAAGAATCAGAGAAAGGAATGTCCCTCACAGCACATTAATTAACCTCTGGAATTCATTTCCACAAAGGGTAGTGATGGCCACCAACGGATTGAGGTTGAATACCAACAAGACAGAAATATTGTTTCTGGGAGTCATTTTGGACTCATAGCTGTCCATGGAGTCACAGGTTAATTCTGTGTCCAGGGCAGCTGTTTACCAGCTCCGTCTGGTACACAGGCTGAGACCCTACCTGCCTGTGCACTGCCTCACCAGAGTGGCGATGCACTCTATGTGGGGCTTTGAAGGTGACTTGGAAAGTTAAACTAATCCACAATGCAACAGCTAGACTGGTGACTGGGAGCAGCCCTAAAGGATCTTCACTGGCTCCCAGTACGTTTCTGAGCACAATTCAGATTGTTGGTGCTGACCTTTAAAGCCCTAAATGGCCTTGGCCCAGTATACCTGAAGGAGCATCTCCACCCCCATCTTTCAGCCTGGACGCTGAGACCCAGCAGGGAGGGCCTTCTGGCGGTTCCCACACTGTGAGAAGTAAAGCTACAGGGAATGAGATGGAGGACCTTCTTGGTAGTGGTGCCCTCCCCATGGAATGCCCTCCCCTCAGATGTTAAGGAGATGAGTAATTGTATATCTTTTAGGAGACATCTGAAGGCAGCCCTGTATAGGGAAGCTTTTTAGGTTTCATGTTTTACTATGTTTTAATATACAGTATGCTGGAAGCCGCCCAGAGTGGTTGGGGTAACCCAGTCAGATAGGCGGGGTACTAATAATAAAGTAGCAGTAGTAGTCGTCGTCATCATCATCACCGTCATCTTTGTCTAGCAGACTGCCACTGTAATGGTGCCAGGAGATCATTCCACAAATGAGGTGCTGAAACGAGCGGTACAGTTAGATGGAGGGGAGCACCCAGAGGAGGACCACTAAAGAAAATACTCTTCTCAGTAGGGCTGGGCGATAATTGGTTTTCAATATTGCAATATATCGCTAGCTAAACATAGAAATACATTGATATATCACAATATCTGAAATAAGGAAGGAACTACGCAGAGGCAAACAGGACAATGTCCTGGCAACTGCAGCTACTAAAGAGTCTAAAATTGATAAATGATGATATTATCAATCACCTCACAGTCACTTTCATCAGCAGGCAAGCCAACAAATGCATCTAAATGAGACTTTTGGTTTGGGGCTTGGCTACCAAATGGTGGCATTCAGGACAATCCAAAGTACGGTGCTCATAGTGAATACAAATCATCTGCAATTGTCGGACAGCCAGCAGGCCTGCTTTGCGGCAGCAGCCTGGTGGTGGCAGAATCAACCATGACAGGGGAGGGGGAGAAGCAGTGGCTGCCTGGCAGCAGTGGTACAATACTCAGCAGCCTGCGAAGCTTTGCTGTGGCAGTGGGTGTCGGCAGCAGAAGCTGCGGCCTGGGAGGCCTTGTCGTGGTGTCGGCAGTAGTGGTGGCCTGCAAGGCCTTGTGGCAGCGGCAAAAGTGGTGACGGCCTACGAGGCCTTGCCATGGCAGTGGCAGTAGTAGCGGCCTGCAAGGCCTCCGAAGGCGGCAGGAGACAGTAGCAGGGGTGGCCTGCAAGGCCTTGCTAAGGGAGGCTGCCACAGCTTCTGCCACCGCCTCCCACTGCCCCAGGAGGACTTGCAGACCGCCGCCACTTCTTGCCATCATGGCAAGGCCTTGCAAGCCCCACTGCTTGTGTTGCCATGAGGCCTCGCAGGCTGCCATTATCATTGCTGTCTCTATGACCGCCGCGAGGCCTAGCAGGCTGCCACCGCTATTGCCACCAGCTCCTGTCGCCGCTGTGAGGCCTCCACGAGGACTCGCGGGCCACCACTGATTGTGCCACCACCGCGAGGCCTTGCAGGTTGTCGCTGCTACTGCTGACACGTACCGCGGTCATGGCAGACTGTTTCTGCCACTGCTGCTTCTGCCTCCTAGCAGGCCTGCTGGCAGTCTGGCAGTCCCAGATTATTTGTATTCACTATGATTCATTGCCGTACTTTGGATTATCCTGAATACCACCATTTGGTAGCCAAGCCCAAAACCAAAAGTCCTATTGGGATGCATTTTTGCTTGCCTGCTGATGAAACTGTGTGATGATTGATAATATTGTTGCTTATCCATTTTGGACCCTTAAGTAGTAGCAGTTGCCAGGACATTGTCCTATTCACCCCTGTATGGTTCCATCCTTAATTCAGACATTGTGTTGGATTGCAATGTTTAGTAGGTGATATTGTGAGGTTTAGCTGCTGATAACATTGCGGTGTTTAGCTGGTTAGTTATCACAATGTTGAAAACCAGATATCACCTAGCCCTTACACACATTGTGATTTGCGATATCACAATGTTGAAAACCAGATATCACTTAGCCCTTACACACATTGTGATTCGCGATATGTTGCCAGTTCAAATATTATGAAACAATTACCACAATGTGAACTTCAAACTGGTTTGGGATGATATATCACCCAGCCCTACTGCTCAGTCACTCCTACTAACCTCCATGAGTGAGGCAGCTTTGATGGTCCTTTTAGCAAGTGTGGCTCCTTTTCATATAGCCCAGGAGTGAGGAAACTGTGGGACTCCCCACTCCCATCCTCCCCAATCTTGGTTAAGTCTGATGGGAGTCAGAGTTTTGCAATATCTAAAGGGCCACCCACCCCTGATACAGACAATGCTGGTATTCTCCTTAGAAAGCTGACTGTGATCTGACTGCTGAAATGGCAGGAGCAGGTTCGTTTCCAACCACTCACTAAGATACAGAGTGAAAGATGAACTGGGAAGAGTCAGAATTGCTTTGTACATATAGCCCTCCTTAGTTTGAAGCTCTCACAGTGGTCTGTGTCTGATCAGTTATAGACAACCAGGCATTATCTTGCAAAACAAGTTACCATCATATTCACCAATTCCAGGCTGTCAAATAGCACGCTTAATGTGCTTTGCTAATTTATTCCAACCTGCACTGAATAAATTTCTATTTCCTTTTGTTTTCTAGCGTTTCCCATTTTGTCCAAGTGACTTACTAATCACCACAGGGTATTTAAGTAAAACGGCCTGTTTTGATAAACCCCACTTTTCTTCCCCATGTCCCCAGTGGTAATGGCTGGAAGGATGGGGGAGGAAGCTCTGTCAGCCATCACCATTTGTGTCTCATCCTTTGTGACACTTAATCATCCTTAGGATCTTAATCACTCGGGGTGTCTAGGCCAGCATATGGCTAACAGTAGGCATGACTAATATGCTTGTTCCATAGCAACATGTGATCTGTTGTGAAGCAGTAAGTGGGACCAGTTGGGTCTGTTTTGTTGGATAGATCAGTCATGCAGTTAAAAAAAAGGTTTGTAATTCATAGTTGTGAAGTGACACACCTGCACCTAATTAGCATCTCTTGAGTTCAGGCTTTCAGTGAACTCAACAGGAGGCTGCTAATGCTGGCTTCTGAATGTATGCTTTATATCTCTGTGCTGGTAGTGATGGAAGTATCTCCACAGCATCTCCAGAAAGAGCTGGAACGTCTAGCAATAAAATAAAAGCAATATGTGTAGAGCAATCTTATGAATCTGTTTTCTCTGTTCTTCGTGTTCCAAAGCTGTTCTTCGTGTTCCAAAGCTGTGCTAAGGGAGGTGGGTGGGTTTTGTGCAGAGAGGATAGCAGCATTTCATTCCATAGTTGCTCAAAATGGACTTACCTTGCAGCACTTCACCAGCACTCATTAAAACAGGGAATGCAGAACCTGCCGCTCTCCTTTATTGGGTGGAGGGGCTAGGCTACAACTCCCATCATCCCTAACTATTGACCATGTTGCCTGTGACTGCTGGAAGGGGGACTCCAGCAACATCAGGGGGTAGCAGGTTATGAAGCTATCAAGAACAAGGCCTTCAGGATGGTTAGATTTCACGGCCTAGATATTCTCTTTCTCTCTCTCTCTCTTTCTTCTTCTTCTTCTTCTTCTTCTTCTTCTTCTATCACTGGTAGCTGAGTGAGATTGCCTGCCCATGAACATGGTCATAACAGTGAGTCCGTAAGTGACTGTAGAGGCCAGTTCTGGATCCACACGCCCTTCCACAGTGGGGACATAGGTTTCTGGGTGGGAGTTGATCACAGTGAGGATTTGCCAAGCATGCCTTCCTCTTAGCATGTTTCTCCCTTTTGTCCTGAGTTTGAGCGTCTTCAAAGTCCATGACACCTTTGGTAAAGGCTGTTCTCCAACTGGAGCACTCGCAGGCCAGTGTTTCCCAGTTGTCTGTGTTTATACTACATTTTTTTTAGATTTGCCTTGAAAGAGTCTTTAAACCTCTTTTGTTGTCCACCGGTATTTTGCTTTCCATTCTTGAGAATAGAGTAGTTGCTTTGGAAGACAATCAGGCATCTGAACAATATGACCAGTCCATTGAAGTTGATGTTGAAGAATCATTGCTTCAACACCTGTGATCTTTCCTTTTTTCAGTACACTGGCATTAGTTTGCCTTTCTTCCCAAGTGATATGTAAAATTTGAAGACTTTGGCAGGTATCCCATCAGGTCCGCTGGCGTTGTTGTTTCTCATTTGCTTAATAGCTGTACACAACTCTCCCAGATTTGGAGATATTGCAAGCTCATCTCTAATATGTTTTTGCGGAATTTATGGGAGGACCTCAGCAGCTACGGGGGAGTTGTGGTTAAGGAGATGCTGGTAATGTTCTTTCCAGAGCAGTGCAATAGCTTTTTTATCTTTTAGAAGTGTGGTACCATCTGCTGAGCATAGGGGGCATGTGCCATGATTTATAGGTGGTCTTTGTGGCTTTAAAGAAACTCTGTACATCATGAATGTCGGCTCAGTGCTGGATCTCTTGAGCTTTTTTTTATTCACCAGGTGTTCTTTAGTTCTCTGGTTCTTCTTTGAACCTCAGCATTGGCATAGGTTTTTTTTCTTAGTGGCACAGTTTCTATCTCTTTGCCAGATCTGAAAGCTCTTCCTTTTCTTGTGAATAATGTGTTCAATCTCACTGGCCTTCTCATCAAACCAGTCCTGGTATTTCTTGGTTTGGTATCCAGTGGTTTGTTCACAGGCTGAAGTAAAGGATGTTTTTAGCTTGGTCCAGTGTTCCTTGATGTTATAGGGAACTCTGAAAGCAGATGGTCCTTAAGAATCGTTGGGAAGCAATCCTGCTTAATGGGATCTTGAAGGGCTCGAGTGTTCATTTTGCGCCTTAGTTTCCTTCCTTGAAGCCTGCGTTGAGGTATAGTATGTGATGTTGAGTACGTCTGGACTCTCATCTGTGTGTCATCTTCAGTTAACTTAGGGTTGTGCTCATTGCTGTTTTAAGAAAGTAACCAAGAAATGTGCTTAACATACTCAGAATGGTAGAGCTAAGGTGACTTTAAAGCACTGCATTGTTTGAGCTGTCTATTTGTACCCTTTCTTTGAACGGTTGGTTTTCAAAGATTACAAGAAAACCAAAGTAAATGTTAAGCATGGTACAGAGCAGAGGACATGCGGACTTTCTCCACCAATAGCCCTTGCCTTTATTCATTTATTTAAAATATTTATTAACATGTTGGCTTTTTCACTAAAAAGAGAAAATGCAAAGCAGCTCACAAAAACACATGTGATAATATTAACAGGTAAATTGCATCAAAGTATTTTTAAAAATACAGTGCCAAAAAATAATCAGGAGACTGAAGGCTGCTGCCACAATGATCAGTATAACAGCAATCGGTAACATAATGATTTATTTGTCATTGAAGCAAATGAATTCTCTGAGGTTAGCAGAGTGCTTCCACCCCTTATACTGTAAAAGCAAACCTCCTGCTTGTTTTGCTTGGCTTTGCTGGAGCAGGATGCTGCCATGCGCAGCAATTTAACGTAGCATGAGCCCAGCCCACTTCTCTGATGCATGGTGTAAGGAGAGGGGTGTGTCATAGTCTTCCTGGATGGCAGCAGCAATGACAAAAGGTGTGGGTAGCGATGAAAGTAAGGCTTGCATTAGAGGTGGGAAATTTTGGCTCCAGCTCTTGATGGACTACAACTCCTGTAGTCCCTGACCTTTGGCTGTGCTGGCTGGAGCTGATAGGAACTGGAATCCCACAACATCTGTGAGGCCTCTGCTTCTCCAGCCCTGGTTCAAATGAATACAGTATGGGCCATCTTCCCATGGTTGCTCCAAAATATCAGCTGCCTCCATTACAGACAAAAGGAAGAAGAGTCATGGTCATGCTGAGACATATCATTGGTCAGGTGATATTGTAGAATCACTGCCATGGCAGGCTGTGTGTGTGTGTGTGTGTGTGTGTGTGTGTGTGATAAAATGCTGGTAATAAGCATAAAATTAAAAGAGAAGTATGCAGTTAGCATGTATTAAGAAAGTCGTGACATTACTATTTATTATTTAATGTCAGAGCTCTTGGCCAAATATTGAGAACTTGAGATATCAGAAGGTTTTAGCAGTAATAAAAAGGTAAAGGTACTGCTGACCGTTAGGCCCAGTCGCAGACGACTCTGGGGTCGCGCGCTCATCTCGCTCTGTAGGCCGAGGGAGCCGGCATTTGTCGCAGACAGCTTCTGGGTCATGTGGCCAGCATGACTAAGCCGCTTCTGGAGAGCCAGAGCAGCACACGGAAACGCCGTTTACCTTCCCGCCGGAGCGGTACCTATTATCTATTTGCACTTTGACATGCTTTCGAACTGCTAGGTTGGCAGGAGCTGGAACAAAGCAATGGGAGCTCACCCCGTCACGGGGATTCGAACCGCTGACTTTCTGATCAGCAAGCCCAAGAGGCTCAGTGGTTTAGACCACAGCGCCACCCACGTACCTTTTAGCAGTAATAGTGGAAGTTAAATGGTCATATTGGTTAGGCTGAAATCATATGCTGAAGTATTTCTCTCCTAACCTAGGTCATTAGGAAGTTGAGATGGAGTACTGCAGTTTCATTACGTGACCTGTAAAACACTTATCTGAAATAGTGAGACTTGGAAAATCATAACTGTGTGTGTGTTTGAACCTTTTTTTATTGCCCTATCAACAAAGTCCTCTATGTAGTTCACACAGTATTAAAACAATAGACATTTAAAATGTTAACTATTAACCATTCAAAATTCTGCCTTAAAACCAGCCTTATTCTAGCAGGAATGTGCTTTGTTAGGATGAAGAATTGCTCTTGCTAATCTATTTTATCTGTCTGGTTTATCATAATCAAAAATACACTTTTTCTTTTCCACAGGCAATAAGCAACAAGGACCAGCACAGTATATCCTACACCTTATCTCGAGTTCAAACAGTGGTGGTTGAATATACACATGACAGCAACACAGACATGTTTCAGGTATATAAAGTATGCTTGAGTTACAGATCACCCCGGGATTAAGACTGCTGGGGCCATCAGAACTTGTTCTCGTGTTGAAAGAAGCAACTACAGTTGCAGTAACATGAAAAAATAAGGTTTTTTATTTTGCTTGCCCAGGCCATTAACGCTAATATAACACCAGCAACTCAACAACCCTGAGAAAAGTAAAACTAGAAAAGACCTTTGGGGGTTTATTGGCTAATGGAGATGGGAAGGAAGTCCCTGTAAAGAGCCAGGGGATCAGGGCTTTGTTCTCTTCTTGTCCACAGACAGCCAGAGTAAACATATTTTAGGGCCATGTAATTTGATCTTTCTCTTCCTTTCTTGTGTATCACCCTCCACCCCCCTTCTATAAAGGAACTTCCTTCACAAGCAAATTTTGAAGTTTCTCTCAGCTGAAAACAATCACTACACGTTAATGAAAAGCTGTCTTGCTGGGTACAGTGAACTATTTCTGAAGAGCGAATGCTCTTCAGATTTGAGTTTTGTTCTGATTTCTGATCTGGATTAAACTTAATGATTTTTCCTCAAAGATCTATTAATATTCTATTACTATAATGGCACCCAAAATATACTACTCTTCTGTCTTACCTTCCTAGGACTTTTACATTGCAGATTTTGTAAGTTATAATGTGGACTACAGGCACTTTTAAATTCAGATCCATGAAAAATAGCTGCGGCAGGGAGAGGGCAAAAAGTACTGTGTCGGTTCAAACTGTCCTATTGTGGCATGAATCTTCATAGGTAACAGCCTCTCTCCAATGTGCCAGATTTCCCCAAGCCGGTGCCCTCCAGATGTTGTGCTGCCCCACTGGCCCCAGCCAATAATCTGGGATGATGGAAGCCGTAGTCCAAAACATCTGAAAGACACCATGTTGAGGAAAGCTGAGCTGTGAGGTGTCAGGAGAAGGCCCCGGCCTGTCACAGGACTACAAAATTAAGTAGCTGCTGTAAATGCATTCTCATGAAATACACTGGCAAGCCACATACCTGATCCTGATAAGGTGTTTTTTTTGTCAAGCAGGGAACACAAAAGAAACACACCATAAACAATCTGAAGAATCAAAGTGGTAAAGCTTCCCCCCTCAAATTTACCAGTTCAGCCTGCAAGTGGCAGTTGCATGCCTCAAATGATCCCCTACAAGAAAATCAGATAGAAAATGAGTACACCAAGGAGTTCTAGTCCAGCCTTCACCCCATCATAATCCATTTTTATCTGTAGGAACTTTAATCTTTTGGAAAGCCTTCCAACATATCATAGCCTGAAACAAAGCAGCCTTGTAAAAAGCATTGCTGCTTGAAGCGCTTCATCTCAGTGGCTTGCAGAAGCTCTCAAATTTGTCTGAAACTGGAGAGTCGCTGCCACCCAGTGTAGACAGTACTGAGCTAAGTGGACCAATGCTTTTACTCAGTCTAAAGGAGCTTCTTTTGTCCCTATGTTGATACTTTTGATAGCATAAATTGGCCCAGGAACACAGTCCAGGTGAGTGGCCAAAGGTTATCACAGTAGCAGGAGAGATCTGCAGTTGCTGTTTGACATGATGGGCTGAGGGTGTCAAAACACTTTGCCTGTGATCCTTCGGGTGTGGACCAACTTGTAGAACCTGTTGGCTCTTGATCACTTCAAAACAGGGCAAATAAAAGTGCCGTCTTTGGTGCTTTCGAAATGGGGGTGGGTTTGACAGAAATGAGGCTGTCACTTTGACAGAGGGTGGTTAAAAAACACAACATTTAAGATGCGCTGGTTCCAATAGCTGCTCAAACAATTTATTTTTATTTATTTATTAAACCTGTTCATTGCCCAAGGCAACCCAAAGTGACTTACAAACAAGCAAACCAACAAACAAAACAATAAAGCCCACATAGATACATTAAAGCCCATTTGGACCCATTTCAGTAACTACTCAACAGCTATGCTGGGGGAGAATCTGCTGGGCTACATACTTGCAATACACCCCCCACCTTTTTAAGGGGCATTAATGTTTTGGTTTTGCAGAAGCTTTTGATAAAACCTGAAAAGTGTTGCTTGCTTTACCTAATAGGGGATTCTTGGATTGCAGCCAAGAGCAGCTGGCAACCCGTTGTTTTCAGCCATTAAAACGGTGTGAGGCTATCTGTGTTTATGTTGAACTGAGTAGCTTATCTGTGTCCTGACCACATGCGTGTTGAAAGAACATTCCTAATTTCAGGCTACCATTTCCCCAACCACGTGGCGGGGATGTGTCCAGGGTCTCAGACTGAACAATACATGTGCTCTCTGATTCACTACAGCAAGGGCATTAATTGAAGAACTGCTGCTGGAATGTAGCTTTGGATTCACAACCCAGTACAAAAAAAAATCTTGAACTTGAGAATACATACTACTGTTCTATAACTTTGATGCAAGATATCAGTCTTAGGTCAGTTCTGCTGAAGTGGAACTCTTTTTGGGGGGCACCTCCCCTCCCCTACAGTTTTAGGCAGTAGTTCTCAGCCATATTAGAATGACTGCATTGGGAATTTCTGCATGCTTTCTTCAATGAATAGATGGATAGTATTATTTCCCATTGCTCTAAAGATCCCAAGGGGCTGTTCTTTGAGTCGGCATTACAGCACTAAAGCACTAAAAGTCAAATGATTGAGATAGGGTAGCATGCTTGAGACTTAGTTAGGGCAGGGATGAAATATTAATTGTTGACTTTCACTAGAGTGCTTTGTATCTAAATCTATTATCCATTTTGTTTTTGTCAGATTGGACGATCAACAGAGAGCCCTATAGACTTCGTAGTGACAGATACTGTTCCCGGAAGCCAGAGCAATTCAGAGACTCAGTCTGTTCAGAGCACTATCTCAAGGTTTGCTTGCAGAATCATATGTGAACGAAATCCTCCTTTCACAGCAAGAATATATGCCGCTGGCTTTGACTCCTCCAAAAACATCTTTCTAGGGGTAAGGGGCTGCTTCCTTCTGCTTCTCAATGCAGGTTTTAACATATTAGCGTGCTTTTCAACTGATCTGCAAAGAACCAATGAATGAAAGCTGTCTTGTTGATGTTTTCCCCATAGGAGAAAGCTGCCAAGTGGAAGACTTTGGATGGGCAGATGGACGGGTTAACCACAAATGGGGTTCTTGTTATGCATCCACGCAATGGATTCACTGAAGACTCCAAGCCCGGAGTATGGAGGGAGATATCTGTGTGTGGGAATGTGTTCAGTCTTCGTGAAACAAGATCTGCTCAGCAGAGGGGGAAAATGGTAGGTCTGAGAAAATAGTAAGTTTGCCAGACAGCTGTAAACAGCATCCGTGAAGATGTCTTGCTACATTTGGAGTACATTGCCCTATTTCCACGAGCATCTAATCCGCTACTAGATATTTCCAGGATGAGGATCTATGTTAGTATGAGCACCTGGTACCTCGGGTTAAGAACTTAATTCCTTCTGGAGGTCCATTCTTAACCTGAAACTGTTCTTAACCCGAGGTACCACTTTAGCTAATGGGGCTTCCCTCTGCTGCTGCTGCTGCACCACCACCGCGCGATTTCTGTTCTCATCCTAAAGTTCTTAACCTGAGGTACTATTTCTGGGTTAGCAGAGTCTGTAACCTGAAGTGTCTGTAACCTGAGGTACCACTGGTAGTCCAAAACATCTGGAGGGCCGAGTTTGCCTGTGCCTGTTTTAAATTAAATGCCTCAGCCTTAAATATTAAGTAAGTCATTAAGTATTAAGTCATCGTTTGTGAAATTTGTATTTGTGTTCTCTTCCAGGTTGAAAATGAAACAAACCAACTTCAGGATGGTTCGTTGATTGACCTCTGTGGAGCAACATTACTGTGGCGCACTGCAGAAGGCCTTTCGCGCACTCCCACCGTGAAGCACTTGGAAGCTCTAAGACAGGAAATAAATGCCGCTAGACCTCAGTGCCCTGTGGGCTTTAACACACTAGCCTTTCCTAGTATGAAGAGGAAAGACGTTGTAGATGAAAAGCAACCCTGGGTTTACCTGAACTGTGGCCATGTCCATGGCTACCACAACTGGGGGAACAAAGAAGAGAGAGATGGGAAGGACCGGGAATGCCCCATGTGCCGATCTGTTGGCCCTTATGTGCCGCTCTGGCTTGGATGTGAAGCTGGATTTTATGTGGATGCTGGCCCTCCAACTCACGCATTCAGCCCATGTGGACATGTGTGCTCAGAAAAGACAACTGCCTATTGGTCCCAAATACCTCTTCCTCATGGTACCCACACTTTTCATGCAGCCTGTCCGTTCTGCGCACATCAGCTTTCTGGTGAACAAGGCTACATCAGACTTATTTTCCAAGGACCGCTTGACTAACTTGTGTTATCTGAGAACTGCATTTAAATACATAAGCTAAAAGATTCTAATTTCAAATGAACTGCCGTCTTAAATTCAACTATATTTCATTCTCTGGGCTTTGACAGTTTACTTTGAGATGAAGAATACTTATTATTTAAGTGGTGAATTCCTCTGTAGATAATGGATGAAGCTGGTTATGTAGGAAAGATTGGTGGTGGATAGCTGGAGCAGACTGAAGGTAGTTCCTAGCCCATCATTTTTGAGATGGAAAAGATAACATTCTTTGCCTTCAATGTAAATGATTTGAATAACATGCCTTTAATATCTAAAATTTGTCTTTTTAAAAAGCATATAATTGAGGGGTGAAAGTGATCAGTTCAAAAGGATATGAGTTTACAGCTTGGATACAAACATGTAAGATAGAGCAACATGTATAGTAACTTCTTTTTCTATTTATCTTTGCTATGAAAAATTATCCTAGGTGACTTGGATAGAGTAGCATGGTAGTTGTGTGTTGCATCCATTGACTGGATGTGTAGATTAGTTCTGGATCAGGAAAGGGTAGGAGATGGGAATATGATAGATGAGCTTTCTTTATTTTGTAAAAGACTAAATCAATATTGAGTTGGTAGAAAAGCAGCAGGTTTTAAAACATAACTAAAGCAAATTAAATTGATGTGCTTTTTGAAGTGCTTAACTACATGTTGGATTACTTGATAAAATCCTTGTTTTTTCTTTCTCTTTCTCTGTCTGGTAGAACTGTAACAAAATGAACTGGTCACATAACATTTACCTGATACTTGGAATATGCAATTTGCCCTCAATTAAGTTCTTTTCTCCCTCCATGTTATATATTATGTATTTGGTTTGTTTTTTGTTGCCTTGTTTTTTGCATTTGCAGCACTGAAGGGTTTATGCTTATTTAAATAAAAAAGAAAACACCAAGGTATACAAGGTGTTCAGTTTTCTTCCTCTACTGGGAGAAACAAAAGAGAGCCAGGAAGTGAGTTAGGAAGGTTCTGTACATTAGATTAGGAACGGATACTGGAGCACAGTAGGATACCATGGAGATGTATTTTTGTACATGCTCATACATACTGTACCATTGCAAAAGGCCATAGTCAATTCATTTCCCCTCCCTAAAATGGAAATTACTTGGTGTCTGTATTACAGCATTTTATGGAAAGAAAAATATAACCCGGGATGATTATTCCCATGTTGCAATACAAATTCATCTCTGTGCATATGTATGTATGCATGCATGTATTTAAATATTTATAAACCACACATTCACAAAAATATAGCAAGGTAGTATACATCATACACAATTACAGTATCAATAAATACAATGGTACCTCGGGTTACAGATGCTTCAGGTTACAGACTCTGCTAACCCAGAAGTAGTACCTCGGGTTAAGAATCATAGAATCCATAGAGTTGGAAGAGACCACAAGGACCATCGAGTCCAACCCCCTGCCAAGCAGGAAACACCATCAGAGCACTCCTGACATATGGTTGTCAAGCCTCTGCTTAAAGACCTCCAAAGAAGGAGACTCCACCACATTCCTTGGCAGCAAATTCCACTGTCGAACAGCTCTTACTGTCAGGAAGTTCTTCCTAATGTTTAGGTGGAATCTTCTTTCTTGTAGTTTGGATCCATTGCTCCGTGTCCGCTTCTCTGGAGCAGCAGAAAACAACCTTTCTCCCTCCTCTATGTGACATCCTTTTATATATTTGAACATGGCTATCATATCAAAGAACTTTGCTTCAGGATGAGAACAGAAATCGTGCGGCGGCAGTGGGAGGCCCCATTAGCTAAAGTGGTACTTCCGGTTAAGAACAGTTTCAGGTTAGGAACGGACCTCCAGAACGAATTAAGTTCTTAACCCGAGGTACCACTGTACTGATTGGTAAAACGAATTCAAATAGCAAAGGCCTATCTGAATAACACATAAGATTTCTGCATTGCAATATATTTGCATTCAAAGTATTTAGGATGTGGCTAGAAATCATTTGAGTAGCCTTGCCAGAAGGTTCACAAGAGTCCCCAGCCTTCCCAAAAACCAACAAATAGGAGCTGGCCTACCTAAGCTTTTAGGCTTGTATCCAATGCACCACTGATCAAGCAAGCTTCCCTTCAGGGAGGAAAGTCCCACTGAGCAAGAGTCAACCCTTTCACTAACAGGACACTTACTTAGAGTTGCAGTGAATACAAGTCAAAACCCACTTCTTTTTCCCCCAAACATTTCTATGACTTCAGAAAATGAGTTAAAAACAGCTGCACTGGAATTACATTCAAACCAAAGCAAAGCAAAGAAAAAAAAGTGGGAACTTATTTTCCCACCATGGTTTAACTTTCAAGGAACATAAAGGGACACACAGAAAAATCATGGCTACAGTTGCATAGAATCCTTTTTACCCTTGACTCCCCTTCATAGATCCTACCTATCCAATAAGCAGCCTTGCAAAATCTTCGAATAAATCTAATGCAAAAGCAGTTTCCCAGTTGTTTTCTCCTAAGGGCTCTGCAGCAAATGCACCTTCCAAGAATGCAGTACCACTAAATTGTCTTAAACTGGCTGAGTAATCAAGGCAAAAATGATGCCCGTGGAGAGCTCTTTGCAAAACAAAACAGGAATAATAATAATAATAATAATAATAATAATAATAATTTATTATTTAAACCCACTCATCTGGCTGGGTTCCCCAGCCACTCTATTCTTCTAAGTCCAATTAGTACTAGATTTTTTACCAACTAAAGGGCTAGGGAGTGTGCTGTGAATGATGAGCTCTGACTTACCGTATTTTTCGCTCTATAAGAGACACTTTTCCCCCTCCAAAAATTCAGGGGAAATGTGTGTGAGTTTTATGGAGCGAATGCAGGCTCCATGGCTTCAGCGAAAGCAACGGAAAGCGTCCAAAGCGCAGCGGTAGCGCTCCCGCCGCGCTCCGGAGGCTTCGTGTTTCTTTCGCTGAAGCCTGGAGAGCGAGAGGGGTTGGTGCGCACCGATCCCTCTTGCTCTCCTGGCTTCGCTTCGCTGGAGAGGCGCTGCACAGCTTTCCCTCTCTGCGCAGCGCCCCTTCGGCGAAGCAGGAGGAGAAATGGAAGGGGCTGCATTTTTCCTGCCGCTTCGCTGAAGGGGCACTGCGCAGAGAGGGAGAGAGTGTTTTTTTTCTTGTTCTCCCCCCTCTAAACCTAGGTGCGTCCTATAGAGCGAAAAATACGGCACCCATCAGCTGGGCACACATTCTAGTTACCATTGGCAACCAGATAACTTAATAACAATCCTGGCTGAATGTAGCTCAAATATATATTTGCCACAGGTGGATCTGGATGATATAGCAATTCAGGGGTTGAGCTATTAATGAAATGAATATATCTTGCACCACAAAGTGTGAAATCATACACCCTGCTTCTCCTTTTATAGTTAATGCGATTTGCCATCAAAACAATGAAACATGCATATTGAAATGTTTTTAGAAGAAAAACAGCCTTTAAAAAGAGGTGTTAACTTACTTTGTGAAAAGCAGGCAGAATCCTCTTCAGAGAAGTCTACACAACCAAGCAGAGTCATGTTCCACACTGGTACATCTTCATTTGTGATTAAATATTATCCAAATCAGTGTTTCCTAAACTTGGATCTCCAGCTGTTTTTGGACCACCACTCCAATTATCCCTAGTTAGTAGGACCAGTGGTCAGAGATTATGGGAATTGTAGTCCAAAAACAGCTGGAAACCCAAATTTAGGAAACACTGATTTAGAGACTGGAGTCAGTTGAAAGTCTAAGCGTTTGGAAAGGGCTCATATGGAAAGGGCTAATAAAAAATGAGCAGAAGGCACATGATCCATTTATGTTATTAAAAGGTAAGGGGACCCCTGACCATTAGTTCCAATTGTGACCGATTCTGGGGTTGGGGCCCTCATCTCGCTTTACTGGCTGAGGGAGCCGGCGTACAGCTTCCGGGTCATGAGGCCAGCATGACTAAGCCGCTTCTGGCAAACCAGAGCAGCGCACGGAAACGCCATTTACCTTCCTGCCGGAGCGGTACCTATTTATCTACTTGCACTTTGACGTGCTTTCAAACTGCTAGGTTGGCAGGAGCAGGGACTGAACAACGGGAGCTCACCCCGTCACGGGGATTCGAACCGCCAACCTTCTGATCGGCAAGTCCTAGGCTCTCTGGTTTAACCCACAACGCCACCTGCGTCCCATTTATGCTATTAAAGCTCAGCAAAAACATGCATGAAAAGGCCAGTTTGAAAATTCAACTAGTAGTGTATTCAGCATCAAGTGCTAATGAGCAAAAACCAGACTGAATAGGTTTCCAAATGCACCCTTCATCAGTATATATACCATTTGCTATATACACAAAACACACAAACGCACAAAACAATAATTAATATCAGTTCACTATACCATCTATAAATATTTTTAAACCATAAAACTATGCTGATATAACTTTTATTGTACTCATGGAATTATTTATATCAAAATACTCCAAAAGCTACTATACTCATAATTTAATCACTTGAAATAATAAAGCACATAAATAATTGTTGCTTATCAGTCTTATGATCATACAAACCTCACTGAAAAAAATAGTTCCTGGTGCCCTGATTTTAATGCCAAATCCTACTGTATCTCAGTTATGCTAGCACACAAAGTTAATTGGTTGCACCTGAGACCTATCTTAAAGGTATAATATTGCCATTCATACTAAGAATGTTGTCAAATACTGCATCACCAAGATGTTACTATGCAAATACCCATGGCTGGAGTTTCTCTTAAACAGGATATTAGCAATGCAAATTACAATGAAGGACAAATATGTATAAATATAGGAGAATTCCCTTGTTGCCAAGATCCAAGTTTGGGGCAGATGCTATTTGGTGAGAGAAACCCAGCAGAGATTTAAATTCACAAAATATGCAGCAAAGTAAAGCATGAAAATATAGGATGTTTGTTGTTGTTTAGTCGTTTAGTCGTGTCCGAGTCTTTGTGGCCCCCTGGACCAGAGCACGCCAGGCACTTCTATCTTCCACTGCCTCCCGCAGCTTGGTCAAACTCATGTTGGTAGCTTCGAGAACACTGTCCAACCATCTCATCCCCTTCTCCTTGTGCCCTCCATCTTTCCCAACATCAGGGTCTTTTCCAGGGAGTCTTCTCTTCTCATGAGGTGGCCAAAGTATTGGAGCCTCAGCTTCAGGATCTGTCCTTCCAGTGAGCACTCAGGGCTGATTTCCTTCAGAATGGATACGTTTGATCTTCTTGCAGTCCATGGGACTCTCAAGAGTCTCTTCCAGACCATAATTCAAAAGCATCAATTCTTTGGCGATCAGCCTTCTTTATGGTCCATATATCACTAGTGGGAAAACCATAGCTTTAACTATAGGGACCTTTGTCAGCAAGGTGATGTCTCTGCTTTTTAAGATGCTGTCTACGTTTGTCATTGCTTTTCTCCCAAGAAGCAAGTGTCTTTTAATTTTGTGACTGCTGTTACCATCTGCAGTGATCATGGCTGTTAGATCTTTAAAATATGCCTTTCCAAATTTTCCTACTTCCCCTAGCATAGAGAAAGATCACACATTTGGTAAGTTTACTATGGTTTACTTACAAACTCTCCAAAGGTCAGGTTCACATGCTTTTCCTTATAGCATTCCGAAAATGCTGCATAGGCAGTAAACTTGGCTAGGTTACAGTGATGAAAGTTCCTAAATTCTTGGTATGGGAACACGAGAATGGCTTGTAAGAGCCATGCAGTCTGAGCTGCAGCAACCAGCTCAAAACCTCTCGGTACACAGACTGAGGTGTACCAATAGACTTGATTACCTTCATCCCAAGGTGAGGGGGAGAGACCTAGGCTAAGTATGGCAGGACAGCTTACTCTATGGTTTTAACCCCTTCAGCTTAATCTTGTGGGTTATCCTAGACTAGTTATCCCACACTTTTAACATCGGGGGGGGGGGTGTTCTCACAGTACTGGAACTCTTGTTCATAAATGTCATTTTTCATGATTATTTGCTTCTTTAGATAATTGGTTGGTACAAGAAAATATTATTATGCTTGTATGCTGAATCACAGACTTTTTAGACCCTTCTGTT